TAGGGGCCCTTTAGAACCTGACGGGCGTCATATCTCCTTGCAAATGCGGATTGGATACCGATTAACAAAATCGAATTCCTGCCATCTTCCAGCACTATTCCGGATTCAAAAACGGATACAGGCTTGTTTCAAGACATTCGACAGTGACATAATGCTGGATATTCGTGACAGCACTATCATAACTCATAGGCCTGATACTTATTGCTGCTTCCGCTTATTTGACCCACTGCATCGTCTTGTTGGGTTGCAAACCTAAACCTATGTATGGAGTATAATTGATTGATAATTCACTGATCTTGTGTGGGCATTTTCATCATTTAGTTCTGTACGAACGCATTTTGGGGTTAATATCAATATCGTTTCAATACTAGTCCGGACTAATGCCAATTTTATAGTGCTAGCCCAATGAGATATACCATGCCGCAGTTTAACATGAATACCCCACTCAGACAGTATACTGACTCCGAGCCGACCAGCCCTTGTTTTAACCCCTCAATTCCGAACGCCAGGCAGGGTAACAACAAGTACCATCTTTTTACGTCTTTTGGTATGATGCGGCCGGGAATCGAACCCCGGACCTTCCGCTCTCTCCGGGCGGACGCTCTACCACAAGACCACGGAGGGAGGCGACCGCCTTTACACGCAGAGGCAAAGACATTTGTAGGTATAATTGGGTCATTGTGTTCTAAGATGTGCACCTAAGACAGGTGCACCAGAAAAAATATACTTAAAGAAAGGTTTAGCCATGTACATGCAGCGAAAAAATGGAGATTTATATAAAACAGAACATTAACATGTCAAATTTAGATTTTTATCGGTGACATTGATAAAGTGTCCAATCAAAATGTGAAAACTGAGATATACCGGGGGATAAATCGATTTCGGAAAGATTCACTTCTCTGACACTTCGCGTTTATCAACATGGTCATCTGAGAGTTATTTGAAATTACCGGTGCCAGGTTCCGAGCGCCAAACATGCAGTACAGAAGATTAACAGGCTTCCCACCGAGGCCAGGACCATCTGAGGGGTTGCTGTTGCAGCCGTGAGTTAGGACGTAATAGAAATAATGATTATATGTAGACTTTAAGAAGAGATATCGTGAGAAGAGAAATGATCGCTTTAGCTTTCTGGGTGCCGTTTCCCGAAAGCCTCTTAGCGCTGCGCCCTCTTAACCGCTACGACGGTTTACGATCCTCTCTAGGATCTCCTTACGACCGTTTCACGAAAGCATCTTAACAAACGTTGTAAAGTCAATCTTAAACAAGGACGTCGCAAGACCTTACGTCATCGTTTTTAACATAACAATCTAAATGAGGAACTGTAAAATCTGCAGAAAGTGTTTGAACATATACCATTTAACTTGAAGTCAGGATCTTCCATGCTTTATCGTGAGATCAGGCGTCGGAACAAATACATCAACATGGATGCCGTGTTGTTGAGAGACTCAGAGCTCATCATATTCGCCATGGACTTTATTTGACCATTCTTTCACCATCTCCCTGCCGCTTAGTCGCCCCCATCTTCCCGAGGCAAGAGAGTTAACTGACTTTAAAAGTCCAGTTTCCACCCTTGCCGAACTAGGCTGGAATTCCTGGGCTCGATCGTAGCGCCACCAGTGGCTAATACGAGTTATGTCCCTTCTATGCCTCTCCTATGGACCAATCAGCTTCCACCTCTCGTATCACTTGCATTTGCTTCAAACTAAATGGCGGCGTCCAGTCAAGACGATCTGATCGATAATCAAGATATATATTGTGATAAAACGGGTCTTACATCGCGAAGTACATCAAATCACGTGAGCACCTTGATTAAAAACATGAAAAGATTTGGAAAATATCTGCTGACATCGAGTTGGCGGTGCAAATGATTTGCAAATCCTGCAATCGACCGAAATCTGCACGACGGTTTACGAACCGGATTTCGATTTCGTTGCGCGATTGTGATTGGACTATGCATAGACTCGTTAGTCCAGCCAAAACGTAACAATAATACCAGCCTCGTTCGGCAAGGGTGGAAACTGGACTTTTATACTCAGTTAACTCCCTTGCCTCGGGAAGATGAGTCGCCCCACATGAGCTACCCTCTCCTTCCTTGCACCTCTATGGCGTCTGCTCAGATTCCTCTTCTCGGGTATTGGCCTTCCAGGGTTGCCTGCGTCTTTCTGAAGCCAGGTTGAATCCATCTCCGACTGCCACATCTTTCTTGCTTCTGTGATCACACCATTCGTATAGCTGGTATAGCTTTCTGTCTGTTCTTTCCTTCCTCATTCAGATACACTCGTGAAGATCCGGGTAAGAATAGGTTTTCAACAACCCATAAAAGGCGACTATGCTTGTCTAAGAGGCGACTGATGGGATCGGGTGGTCAGGCTCGCTGACTTGGTTGATGCATGCCATCGCATCCCAATTGCGTGGATCGATACTCATGATGTCAATTACTGGATTATCTGGTCCAGACTCGATTATATACAGTCCGCCGTCATATAGCTGGAATATTGCTGAGTACGGTGTTAAACATAAAAAAAACACTCGTGTTTTCAAGGGACCATCAGACATAATTATTGCTCCACCTTCTATCCTCCTTTCTCGTCATCCTCTCTTCATTTTTTCCACCTCCTTCTTGCTTCCGTTTACTTTCTTCATTTTCTTCAACCTTCTTTCCAACTCTTTTCTCGACTGTATAAGTCTGGAATCTTTCATCATCTCGGTGTGAGCGGTATTGGGCGAACCAAATGTTCATGAACGGCGCTCTCTCGGATCGGTATGTAGAACATAAGTGGCATCACGTATAGAAGCCACTGTTTACATGTAATGCGATTTGTTGAGTTTCGCTGTTCGTGCTTGCAAATGTGCACTACAGTTTTTGGAACATGTCATGCCTGTGTTACGCATCGCGTTGAAGGTTAGTAAAAAAGTCCTGGATAATATCACATTGAGTGTTTCAGTTGAAACCTCATTAAAAATAATTAAATTCACAAAAATACACAGTTGCTCTTGTTTATGTTCGTATTGAGTCATTTATTCGCCTCCTATTATTTTTCATTGAGGTTACAATGTCCACAGTGTTACGGGTAACATTGATGTTGGCTCTACATTTTGAACTCACGCCTTTCCAAATACACCATGAATATATTGTTGTTTTTCGTCAGTATACCCAGTAGCTTGTGTTGTATCGAGCATCTTGGACGATGGGTAGCCTAGTGGTTAAAGCGTTCGCTCGTCACGCCAAAGTCCCGGGTTCGAACCCCCGCTGTGATATTGCTGGAATATTGCTAAAAGCGGCGAAAACCACACTCACTGTATCGAGAATCTCCTTCGACCCCTCATATTCTCTCTGAGCTTGCGGCTAGTAATTTGTGAAAACGGAGGATAAAGATAGATGATGTTTGCTAACTTTTTCATGTTCGTCCTAAACTCTGCTATAGTCACCGTCTGGTATATTCGCCGTTTGGTATATTCACTGTCTGGTATCTTATCTTACCCGCTGTAAGCCATACACGTCTCCTTATAAAATTTATCATGAACACCTCACTCTACGTGATCAATGTTCAAAGCTGTCGTGAACAAACCATACATTTCGACGCGTTGTCAACATTTATTATTACTAAAATACTCCGACATGCATAGAATTGAACTGAACACGTTAATCATCTCAATGTCCACCGCTGGAACATCACTCTCTCATCCACTCCCCCTGTGCACTTTAAAAGGCACATAAAAGGGACATTGTCGCGTTGTCGCACATTTTAACGCCTTTTCTACTTTGATGGGGCGACAATGCGGCAACGCCACATATTTTGACCTTAAAAAAAATAAAAAAAGATTATTCAAAGCGCGACAATGCGACAAATACCAAAATGTTGCGTTGTCGCGCTTTGGTTTTTTCTGATACGTTTTGCTTGTATTTATAATGGCGACAATGCTGCAATGTCCCTTCTAGGAATCCATACTTAAGAGAGTATTACATCTGGATATTCACAACTTAGCGTGTTCAGTGTTTTGCTTGTTATTTAGCGACGCACTCGGCAATATTCCAGTTATGTGACGGTGGCTTGTAAATAGTCTGGACCAGACACATCATTCACCCAGATCCACGTTGTCGCCTCTCACAACAAGCATGGGTTGCTGGGAACCAGTTCTACCCGGCAATCCAAAACTTCGGTGTGACGCCGATTTGTTCAGTGTTTCAGTTTTACCACAGCGTGTCAGTTTAATGTTGGGGGTAAGCGTAAGGTTGCCTATGTATGGTAATGATTAGACTAACATTTAGTCTCTGAAATCTTATATTACACAATATCCTTCTTGACTCTAAAATAAAAAAAATATTTCCCCATGCTGATTATGCTGTCGAATAGAGCTAGCTTGAGCTGGCTAGACTTGCTTTTGTATGCGTTTCTAGATTTTTTATTTCATAAAATAAATATGTTCCACTGTCATGGTGCAGGGCTAGGTAATGATAGATCATGGGTCTAACCAGGGATTGCTAGAGGACTACCTGTTGCCACACATCGGCGCCTTTGACCTCTGAGGTACCCGAACTCCCTTCAGATCTTCGCGGACCGCCTCCGTGGTCTAGTGGTAGAGCGTCCGCCCGGAGAGCAGAAGGTCCGGGTTCGATCCCCGGCCGCGTCATACCAAAAGACGTTAAAAGATGGTACTTGTTGTTACCCTGTCTTTAAGGGGCATTAAGGGGCTAAAACAAGGACTGGTCGGCTCGGAGTCAGTATACTGTGTCTGAGTGGAGTATTCATGTTAAAAAACCTGCGGCATGGTACCTCAGTGAGCTAGCACTATAAATCGGCATCAGTCCGGACTAGTACAAGCAGCCACACAAACACACACACGTACATGCACGTCGCTATATAAGTGCAATAATCTTGGACGCGACGTTAAACCCCATTTCACCTCACCTCAGATCTTCGCGCTAGAAAGAAATGTAATTCAAACTAACAACATTATTGTTAGTACCCATTATTTACCAATAAAGAGCAACAGGTACCTTTTAAAGCAGTTTACATTTTATTTACAAGTCGTTCAAAGTTATTTGACATGAAAATATGAATCATTCTTCGCTCCTGGTATGTTGTATATACACATGAGCTGAATTAATGTTTGTTCTACATCTTGATATTGTCTAAATATTGTAACTGTCATAACCATTTTCGTCTTGGTTTTCATTTAACGCCATTTCTAAAAAAAACATGTTTAAATGAGAATGATTCTTTTAAGATCGAAGATCGTGCCCACGTATGTAGAGTAAGTGAGAATGATACTGTATTATAAATGGAGTGCTATGTGCTATGTTGAAACATACGAGTGAGAGAATGAGTTGGGTTTACCGCCGCTTTGAACAGTATTTCAGTTATATCACGGCGTCTCAGCTTAATGTGCGTGGAAAGCCCGAAGTGGTGCAGGTCCTAAAAGTTTACTACTTTGGCGAAACCCACGAACACGAGTATGGTGCTGACAAACCTAGAAACAATCGGGGCGAATCGGGATTCGAACCCCGATCATACGTTTCTGGCGTGCCCAAGGGACGCAACTCTGCACACCTTGAAACATATGAGACTTCCACACTGGTCAAATATGACCTACAGGGAAATATCTGAAATATCTGAATCTTGCAAACACTCAAAAATACAATCTCATTACAATCGGAACTTTTGCCCCGATACCTATCTGTTTAAAGAGCGACATCGTATCTAAATCATACACGAAAAGATTTAATGAGATCGCACAAGATCTCGATTATAAATAACACTTAACACTCATCCTCTTGTCAATACAACACAAGGGATGTATCTCGTGGGAGAAGACTCCGGGATCCACAGGCAGATCATAGATATAACACACAGGCGCCTCGAACACAAGAATAACCCTTCCTCCCAGCCCTTACTGTAATGATATAGCACTAAATTAAGCAAGTCTAGATTTTCCACAGTTCAACACCCACCTCACCGGGGACTCCTTTTTAATTCAAATGGAGCTGTTTAATTCTATCAAAATTATATATTTTCAGAGACTAAGCTATACCCATTAAATCACGCCATATGTTAATTCGGTTACAAATCCGCCACATCAACACTCACTTGTACACAGATACCAGGCAGGTCATCCACAATCAGTCCATCAAAGATAACCCGAATGTATTGTCATATATGAGGATAACAATATTTGCGATAGGATAGTCCTTACGTAACAAAACACACAACTTCACGGATAACAACTTCACGTTTACTGCACTTAGCAACGTCTCCCTATGGTTTCCTACATCGTTATCAAGCTGGAGTGGATGACAGTGTAAGAATCTACATCGAAACGTCGCTACATGCAGTAAACCAGTTGTTATCCATAAAGTTGTATGTTTTCTTATTTCCTCACCAACTTCTAGAATGTCCTCAAGTCATTCACACTGTATATTGCTGCAGCTTGCAATTTATCAACTGGGTAAAACACGTAGCTTGAAAGCCCCTCTATACAACGCCCAAACTTAGCACTAAATTTCTCTCGCTCGTGACAGTAATTTGATTGGACGGCTATTTTTAGCGTCGTGCAATTTGAAACTATTCTTTGGCGAATGGGACCAGGGTATTTATCATGAGAAATATATAATGCACAACCGGGGTGTTATGTCACATACTCTGGATAGGAGAGGGTGTAATGTGACAAGCGCCCTCAACCAATATCTGGTGACGGCACCAGTAAAGACGAAGGCCACTGGTGCGATATACAGTTGAAACGTCGCAGGCGTTAAGTTGTATTCGCTCCTTCGCTTTTCATAGTGTTTCGTTTGAGCGTTGGTAATAATAATGATTATACACAAGTTTCAGGTCTTCATGACTTCACAGTGTCAAGTGCTGAGGCGAGAGCAGATGGATGTGCAGAGTTAGGAGGCGATGGAGATGGTCCTGAAGGTCGCGTTGTCCTCATCAATGAGGTCGTCTTTGTCCTCGTGCAACATCCCCGACGTGTCCAGCTCCCCTAGGTTCGTCAACCGGAACGTCCTGAACATTAACAACGCCTATAAGGGACAGCAGGGGTTGCTGATGACCTATTCTACCCTGTATCTTCACCGGTCGGTACAGTTAAAGGTACCGATTTGCATAGTAACTAATATTAAATCTTACGACATACATCCTTAACTATTCTAATTGAAAAGTTAGATGTCTATGCACTTGTTTCAATTACAAAAAAAGGAATACGGCCACACAACTTGTGTATCGAAGGAATTCCTGGCCCTAGTTGTAAACGAGGTCAAAGGTTACACTCACACAATGCTCCTCTTCTTCCGGCGGATATAGATGATGACGCTCATCGCGACGATGAGAAAGACGCCAACACAAGACACCACGACAGCCACTGTCAAGGTCACGTTGTCTGGCGAAGAAAGACATGTTAGAAACATTTTTTTCAAATGCACTAGTAACTTATTTATACCACTGCGATTGTTTGTATTCTGGCGACCAATTGGGAATGGGAAATGTATTATATCCAATCTCATTAAAATCAGATCTACCGCTAAACAAAGATCTGAGGACATCCCATTAGGGGTCACGTCAGGCAGACTTTGCTCGAACCAATGGATTGACCAATCAGAAGACAGCTTTCTCGTGCTTTACGACACTAATTTCAAATTGGTGACTTCGCTTCGAAACATATTCTGACAAATTCTCGATTACAAATATGAAACTTAAACAAAAGAACTCTGGACTGGATAATAGATGGTCTAGATTGTATGGATTCAGTCGTTAAACCTGTAACTATCGTTCGGAATAGTTAGTTCCCGTGTTAAAGATTTCGAGGTTGCATTATCAGAATTCACATTCCGAATGTAACTTTCATGATCTGGTAAGCGATGCTCTGATTGGTCGGATGATAGGTCGTTCTGACATGACCCCTAATGGGATGTCCTCAGACCTTTGTTTGGCGGTAGCGAGAACTGAGATCTGATTTTAATGAGATTGGTATTATATCAAGTTTTATACTTATTCCAATATTGCCTTTTTTGTATGTTTTTCACCCACAAGTTATGGGGTGTTTGAAAGCCCCCCCCCCCCCCCCCCCCTTAAATACGCCATAAAACTGCATCAGGTTTACATGTCACGAAATAGTATATATCTGGAGGACACAGTTAGCATCCAGGAAAGGCACGAGTTGGTCCATTCTCAACAGTGTCATTCCGGGATAAGCCGAATCTTCTTGCATGTTACGGAAAAGGACGAGTAATTACGAATGGAGATGACGAAATATTTTCCAATATCCGATTACATCGATAAAGATTACAAAATATTTTGGTGATGTATTTAATAGAAAATGATTGATGGGATCTGTGCGGAAGAGTAGGGAAAGTAACCAAATCTGTATAAAATCAAACAAGACAAGACATTTCCAAATAATTTAAGCATCTCTCACTGTCGCCTGTATTGCCGGGTTTGACGGCAGGGGGAAGGCAGTCCTGGAAGCAGCTGGAGTCGGTGACGTAGCTGCGGGTACCGACGATGACGGTCTTGGAACTGTGGACGAAGTTGCGGAAGCCGTGGAAGATGAGTTCGGACTGCCATGGGAAACTTGATTCAATGTAGGCTTCGAAGATGAGGCTCCCGCAGAGGTACTTCCTCTCTGATGATCAAATGAGTGAATATTGTCTTACGCTGGTTTTGGCAATGTTCCATCTATTTCACGGCAAGGCTGGGGGGACATTGCACTGATAACCCAGAATCGAGGGGTTAACGACTATAGTCCGTTTTAATCAAAATTAATCCCATAAGCGGCCAAATAAAAAATTAGTGAGGTGTGATTTGTTTAACCATGTGTTAAACGGTCTCCTCCCATTAGTAAGACAGCCCAGTTGTGAGACACGTTAAAACAACAATGTCATACCTGGTTGCACATGTTAATCAGGTAATTAACCCCTATCATGAAAATGGACTTGTCTTATTATAGACAAAAGAAATGACTCAAGATGCTTGATACCCTCTTTTACTTTATTTCATTCAACATTTTAATTCATCCATCCCTTAAATCCATTGTTTTAACATATTCGCCACTTAGAGTTCAGTTAAAGTTAATATCACAGTTCACATCACAGTTCACATCGAGGTTGTCACACTGACACAACCTTAATCCATCTTCAGAAGTTTGCCACCAGCATCCAAGAACTGGAGTGGTGTCTTGACACCCTGGGATAGCTGATCCTTCAGTCTGGAAAGTCGATTGTCAATCTCCTTGTACACACGCTTTCTTGCTGGTGGAGCTGCACCTAGGTCTAACTGAGATAGCTTGGTCTTCTCAGATTTCTCAATCTTCTTGATGATCTCGATGAACGTGTAGAGATTAGGATGACGATGATTCAGTGATGCATTGAGGCGACTGTGGAAACCCTCCAGGTTGTTGTTGGTCCTTGGGCCGAATGTCTGGTGATGGTTCCACAGCGAAAGAGGGAATGTGGCTTCATAATCCACCCAGTTTGTGACTATGTAGTCGTTGAATTCGTCAGCATTTGGTACATCGGGAGACTGGTTCATGGAGTCAATCCATGCATCCTGAACCTGTTGAAGAGGCAGCAGAGGCAAGGCAGCAGCTCGTCGGATCCACTGTTCCACAAGGGGGTTATCTCTGTATCCAACAGCAAGACCAAGCTCCTGTGTTTTCCGCCAAATCGCCTGGGTAAAGTGGAAGAAACACCCCTTGATGTCTGAACCTTGAAACTCTGTCCGGAGGGCTCTAATGGCAGCAACTTCAAAGTCCACCTGGAATGTCTCTGGGTTGAATGGTTGGTTCAGTAGATGTTGGATGTGGACCTTCAACTGAGCAAAGAGGCGTTGGTAAGTTGTAGTCCGACGATCAGGCATCAATGCGTAGACTAGGGGATAGGTAATGCTTCCTTTCCGTGCATGCAGTATGTAAAGCTGATTCCAAAGATCTGGGCAGGCGGAGAAAGTAACATCCATGTAGACAATGGAAGCTGACTGGAGGACTCTAAGCTGATCATCAGTTGCAAATACCAGCATCTTGTCTTCTTCACCGTCGGCAAAAAGCAGAAACCGCTCACCATCATGGGTCTCTCTCCAGGGTGCTGCAATGTCGACTTCAGCTCTGGTTTGGGGGAGTTTCGGGATCGTGTGACTGCGGTGTCTGTACATGGCGCTGCCGACTGAGCTGAAGGAGGGAAATATAGCTGCAGCCTCCGGATCATGTCTCAAGACATCGTCGTTGTAGAGGGCTGGCATAGGAGTGGTTGGTTCTTCTCTTGCTCTCTTCCTTAAGCTGCCAAGGAACTGGATTCTGCTGGTGTCTTCTGGTGGGTGGTTGTGTACAGTGAAATTTCTAACAATGCCAATGCATGTCTTAACGGTACATCGCCAATGAGTACCAGTTTGTCTTACTTTGTTCTTGTAGTGGAGATATCCCTGAAAGAGGACTTGGAGAGTACCTCTTTGACTGGTAATGAACTCAACCTGCTGCAAACCTGCCATGATTGTGCATGAAATGTTCACAGACTAGGGGAAATATATATGTGTAATAAGTAAGTTTTAACAAAACATGCATCTCAACTTTTTGAGTAAGCTCCTACTAGCACCTAACTCATTGGCCTACTCTTATTAATTAATCTGCTAATAATAGGCTGTGACCATTGTTAAGTGTGTAGACTGGCTGGTTTGTTTAATTAATCCAACCTACTCCACTGTCTTACAATGGGTGTCTCACTAATGGGATTTAACCTGTTAAACAGTTTTTCAGTTACCGTATTTCCTCTATTAGACGCCCGGGCTTCTATTTATTTCGGACAAGCCTTTGACCCGGCGTCAATTAGAGGCCCGGCGTCTATTGGAGGCCTGGCTTCTATTAATACCCCCATTTCACTATGACCACGAATTTAGGTCCCAAAAAGGGATCATTAATTGTATCAATTGATCGACCCGGCGTCTATTAGAGGCCCGGCTTCTATTTTTTGCACTGAACAATTGACCCGGCTTCTATTAGAGTCCCGACGTCTAATAGAGGAAATACGGTATATGACAGCGTGTCGGTTGTGTAACAGCGAGGCGTTTTGTTGGTTTGTTGTTTAACGTCGCACTCAGCAATATTACAGCTATATGATGGCGGTCTGTAAATAATCGAGCCTGGACGAGACAATCCGATGATTGACATCATGAGCATCGATCTACGCAATTGGGATACAATGACATGCATCAGCCAAGACAGTGAGCCTGACCATCCGATCCCGTCAGTCGCCTGTTACGGCAAACTGGAGACCTGTTCCCTTCCGGATCTTCACGGGTCAACAGGATACGTCTTAATATGGGAATAATAACACATACATGTATCACATGGTCAAGTAAATGTGGCAGAAATATTACTGACGTGACTTTAAATTTTAACTCACTCACTCGGGAATTAAACATACGGGGGCATATATATGGTATTGTTGTTTTTTGTGTCTTTTGTTTATATTGTTTCTTGCTGAACGCCGCATTCAGCAATATTCCAACTATATGACGCCAGTCTTTAAAAAATCAAGTCTGGACCACACAATCCAGTGATAGACATCATGAGCATCGAATAACGCAATTGGGATACGATGACATGCATTATCCAAATCACTGAGCCTGACCACCCGATCCCCTTAGTCGCTTCTTACGAAGAGCATGAGTTGCTGAAGGCCAATTCTAACCCGGATCTTCACGGCGAGGTTATGGCATTGTCAAAGGGGAATGTCGAGCTGACATGACTAATTTCCTTGCCTCAGATCACCCGAGTCAAATATAAAGCAGGTCTGTATATCTGAGCGAACTTTCTGTTAAAGCATGTCCCAAAATATGAATGACATTTACGTTAAGAAATTACGTTTTTGACATGTAAAGCACGTGTTTAACACTGCGACAGTCGCGATTGTTACCAACTAGACAGGCCATCTGAGGAGGAAGATCACTAAACAAGTGCTTAAGTGAACAGTGTCCAAACAAAATGCAAGGGACAAATTCAAGAACCTAAATTCTCGCTAATTACTATTAAGTTAGATGATGAAACCAGATTTGCTGGAGCCTCTGTGTCTGAGACAAATTCTAAGGCTGATATTAGTAAGTTGCATGCATGGAAACAGGGTTTAGCTTCACCTACCCTTCACAAGCACCTGCGACAATCCACAACTGCACTTGGCGTTGACGCTGTTGACAATGACGTCAACCAGGTCCCGCTGTTTCTGTTTGTTTGACTGGAAGTCCTCGCAGTTGGCATTTGTGAGTTTAAACTGGACCCTGTTTCCGTAGCCCGTGGTACAGTTGTTGGGCTGACCGACGGTAAGGGGGGCCAAGATGAAGCATCCTGGATCTTTGATGTCATCACCCAAGCATGTGCACCTGCTGAAGCTAATGTGCGATCTTCCTCTCAACAAACTGTGAACGGAACAGTGCTTGTTAACAAAACATCAATGACATAATTGGTGAGATAATGCGTAGTAAAACTGGTTGAACTTAAACAGAAACGACACTATAAGTTAGTGAATGAGTGAGTGAGTGAGTGAGTTGGGTTTAACGCTGCTTTGAACTGTAACCCAGCTTATCACGGTGTCTCAGCTTGATGTTGAGGAAAGCCCAAGTCATGCAGATAAGCATGGGTTGCTGAAGATTCTAAACCGGATCAGCGAGACGTCTTAATACGGGAGATAGTTATATGGTTATACAACTTCTTTATTACAATGACGAGAGGAAGGTCGGTGGTTAGATCTAACCAAACCAAAAGACGTAAATAAATGGTACTTGTTGTTACTCTGCTTGGCACTCGGAATTTAGGGTTAAAAGAAGGACTAGCAGGTGTGGAGTCGGCATAATGTGTCTGAGTCGGAATTCCATGTTAAACTGCGGTATGGTATCTCAGTTGGCTAGCACTCTACAACCGACATACTATGTACTCTCGCATCTTTCCGGGGCAAGGGAGTTAACTGACTATATAAATCCAGTTTCAATCCTTGCCGAACAAGACTTCTATGTCCCTCCTATTGACCAATCAGATTCCACCTCTCATCACACTCCGGCGCACGGAACTCTGGGTAGGAGAGTGACCTCTCATATCACTTGAATTTGCTTCAAACAAAATGGCGGCGCCCAGTGAAGACGATCTCATCGATAATCAAGATCTATATTGTAATAAAACGGGTCTTACTTCGCGAAGTACATCAAATCACGTGAGCACCTTGATTAAAAACATGAAAGGATTTGGAAAATATCTGTTGACGGTACACATGCTTTGCAAATCCTGCAATCGACCGAAATCTGCACTGCAGTTCACGAACCGGATGTTGATTTCATTACGCGATTTTGATTGGACTATGCATAGACTCATTAGTGCTACAGTTGTTATACTTCTAGTGAAAGGCAACAAGCACTCACTGACTTCACATAAAATAAGGATTATGTTGTTGAATCAGAACAATCTCTAAAATGATAGCGTACTTGCCTTGGCTTAACAGTGAAGATCCTCTTGGTCTGTTGGGGTACTAGGTTCTCCAAGATGTCCTTGTGGATACTGTCCTCTGTTGTGCGCACTATGAAGGAGTCCAGCAGTCCATGTATCTGATTGATGGGGATGTGCTCGGTGTAGTTTTTGAGCCATTTGGAGTTGTTGTATAAGGCAACTGCCACTGACGATTCGTTGGCTGTGTGGTTGCGTTTCTGGAGGAGGAAGAATAACGTGAGTGAGTGAGTGAGTTAAAATTTTACGCCGCTTTTAGCAATATTCCAGCAATATCACGCCGGGGGACACCGCAAATGGGCTTCACACATTGTACCTATGTCGGGAATCGAACCCGGGTCTTCGGCGTGACGAGCGAACGCTTTAACAACTAGGCTACCCGACCGCCCCAGGAAGCATAACGATACATGGTGTCTTAGACCCCCAAAAGATCACTGCATAATTCCATCACTGAAATAATAGTTATTCTTAGATGAGTACATATTCATTCTAAAAAAAGGTTTATAAAGTCGACATTAGCAGTCGAGCGAAAAAATGTTTTGCTCCAAAGAATTCTTGAACAATTTTTGGTTGTTCCTCATCGGGCCTGCGTCTATTAGACTCTGTTGCTGTGATTACCGGCTGTTTATAAGAGTGATTGAGTATGTTTTTACGCAGCGTTTAGCAATATTCCAGCAATATCACGGCGGGGTGGTGACACTAGAAATGGGATTCACGCATTGTACCTATGTTGGGAATCGAACCCGGGCCTTCGGCGAGACGAGGAACCTCTTAAACCACAAGCAACCCAGCCGACCCATTGACTATAAGAATGAATACCCGGTACAGCGCGAAAGTTATACACGAGTAACATTCCGATCACGTTGACGAATGTATACAGTATTAACATTACCAGAAAGTAATGCACTACAAAGAGACCGTTCCCATCCATTTCTTCATTTTTGCCAAATCGTTTGTGGAAGAGTGTCTCTTTAGATTTGCCGTCAAACACCACGAGGGAGTAGTCGTCCAGGGTCATGTTGGGCCCTGTGGAAATCAGGATAATGATTAATGGTCTCAACAAACTGGCACCACGAGCATAGTGAGTGAGTGAGTGAGTTGGGTTTAACGCCGCTTTTAACAGTATTCCAGTCATATCGCGGCGTGTCAGCTTAATGTGGGAGGAAAGCCCGAAGTGGTGCAGGTTTTAGACGTTTACCACTTCGGTGAAACCCACGAGCACGGGTATGGTGCTGACAAACCTAGAAACATAATTGGGGCGAACCGGGATTCGAACCCACAATCATAGGTTTCTGGCGTGCCCAAGGGACGCAACTCTGCACAGCGAATCGCGGCGCCTTAGACGACTGGGCCACCCGTGCCCCCACCACGAGCATAAGTTAGTTAGTTATTTTATTTTTATCCGATGATTGACATCACTGTTAAAACAAAGGATCCGCTGGTCTAGGGGGAGGCTGATCCAGTGTCCTGGTTCCCAAACACTGTGGATTGTCGCTCATGCTATCATTCTCTGGTTTATCCGTCCAGGCTTAGTCATGTACAGTCCTTGGGTATTGATGACTGTGGCCTTAAATAACATTCATTAACTTAATATTCCCGTTATTCATAGCAGTGAGGAAAGCATTCATAGCATGTTTGATGGTTAACGCCAGTAATATGGACCGGACAAACCAGTGATTGATATCGTGAGGAACGTCCCACGCATTAGGGGTATGATGACACACAATCAACAAATTTGGGCACCCAATCTGACCACCCGATCCAGTTTGTCGCCCCTTACGACAGGCATAGTTTCTGGGGACCAGTTCTAACCCCGAATCACCAGCATGGTAAAGTATCTGACACAACGAAGAACACATAAAATAGATTACGATATTACCTTTTAGTTCTATAAATGAGTTGTTGACACCATTCTGAACAAGAAGGCTGACTTCGTTGATAACGGGGTTTTGGGGGAACGGTGCAACAGTAGCCGAGGACGTTGATGGAGATGACGCTGTCACAGGCACAGTGTTGGTATATCCCGAGGAACTAGATGACTCTTCAGTTCCAGATGTTTCTGTTGGTCCATGTTCTGTAGTAGCAACAGGCTTACTGGGGGGATGTGAAGATGGCAACGTTGGTTGTTTGGAAGAAGCTGTTATTCGTGGTGATGTAGGCTGTGTTGACGCTGATGATGACTGTGAGGTTGGTTGTTGTTTTGTAGAAGCTGAAGTTGGTGGTGTTGTACGCTTTGAGGACGCTGATGGTGACTGCGAGGTTGGGTGTTGTTTTGTAAAAGCTGAACTTGGTTGTGTTGTACGCTTTGAGGACGCTGATGATGACTGCGAGGTTGGGTGTTGTTTTGAAGAAGCTGAACTTGGTGGTGTTGTACGCTTTGAGGACGCTGATGATGACTGCGAGGTTGGGTGTTGTTTTGTAAAAGCTGAAGTTGGTTGTGTTGTACGCTTTGAGGACGCTGATGGTGACTGCGAGGTTGGGTGTTGTTTTGTAAAAGCTGAACTTGGTTGTGTTGTACGCTTTGAGGACGCTGATGGTGACTGCGATTTAGGGTGTTGTTTTGTAAAAGCTGAACTTGGTTGTGTTGTACGCTTTGAGGACGCTGATGGTGACTGCGAAGTTGGGTGTTGTTTTGTAGAAGCTGAACTTGGTTGTGTTGTACGCTTTGAGGACGCTGATGGTGACTGCGAGGTTGGGTGTTGTTTTGTAAAAGCTGAACTTGGTTGTGTTGTACGCTTTGAGGACGCTGATGATGACTGCGAGGTTGGTTCTTCTGTAGAAGCTGAACCTTTGTGAGGGGAATCATCCTGTTCATCTTCTAACTCGTCAACACTGTCAGCTCCCTCAGATTCAGCAACATCAGTAGGGCAAGCATTCTCCTCCCACTTCGTGGATAATGTCAGAGTATATGATGAGCCACACCAACTGACCGAGAGACTCTTGTTGTCAACGGAAACAATATCAACCAAAACAGTGTCTGGTTCGAGAGCGTAGGTCCGAGAATCTGAATAGTTAAATGTATAAATTACACCATCAATGACAGTTCCACGTTCCAACAGTACAATGGCCCACGGTTGATGGTCATCCAGCAACTCCCCTAGTGCAATGTCACATATGGCGTACGTCCGGTTCCGGTTAGGGTCTTCATGCAGTGCGACATGGTGCTCGGAGGACACCGACATCAACTTTATACTGTATTGAGATATTGCAAGAGGCTGCGCTGGAAGGGATATTTCAACAAACCCTTGACGGTTCGCATCAAGAGCCCAGAGTTTGAATTCACTGATGCAAGGACTGTCCTCTGAGAAACAGTGTTTTGTGTGGCAGCAGGACACAAGAACACAGAGATACAGTCCGAGGTGGAAATACAGATTGGTGTATGTCATCTCTGTAGATTACTGAAACGAAAGATCATATACGGATTTGCACCGGCGTTCCTCAATGGCTAGCTTGTTTTGTTCGTTTGTTTGTTGTTTAACGCAACACTCAGCAATATTTCAGCTATATGAAGACGGTCTGTAAGTATTCGGGTCTTGACCAGAAAAGCCAGTGATTGGCATCATGAGCAACGATCTACGCAATCGGGATACGATGACATGCATCGGCCAAGTCATCAAGCATGACCACCCGATGCCGTAAGTCGCCTCTTACGACAACATGGGTTGTTGTAGACCAAGGCTAGAAATCAAGGGTAATTTTAACTACTAACAATTACAACCACAATATATACAGTGCTGTGACTACATGATGTGTTCCTTAGCCATCCTTGGAAGGTGGGGTAGTCCAGTAGTTAAGGCTCTGCCCGCGAAGACCCGGGTTCGATTCCCCACGCGGGTAAGATGTGTGAAGACCCTTTCCCGTGTCCCCGCTGTGATATTGCTTGAATAGTGCATGAAACGGCGTAAACACAAATTTACAATCCCATGATGCAGATTTGCTGACTTCTTTTGACGTGATATGGTGGTCTAACACGCCCACTGTGTTCCATATGTTCAGTAGACCCTGCGAGGAATCGGGTGGTCATCCTGTCTGATTAGTTACAGTCTGATATTAAGTTGTGGACATGTACCAAAAGTCTGATCTTAGAGGTGAGGTGAGGTGAAATGGGGTTTAACGTCGCGTCCAAGATTATTGCACTTATATAGCGACGTGCATGTACGTGTGTGTGTTTGTGTGGCTGCTTGTACTAGTCCGGACTGATGCCGATTTATAGTGCTAGCTCACTGAGATACCATGCCGCAGTTTAACATGAATACCCGACCAGTCCTTGTTTTAGCCCCTTAATGCCGAGCGCCAGACAGGGTAACAACAAGTACCATCTTTTAACGTCTTTTGGTATGACGCGGCCGGGGATCGAACCCCGAATCTCCGCTCTCCGGGCGGACGCTCTACCACGAGACCACGGAGGCGGTCCTGATCTTAGAGCTCAATACTGCTACACAAAGCGGTAACGAGAACCAAGATTTGATTATAATGAGAGTGTACCTTACAAAACAAGGTGTATACTGTCTATAAAAACCATTGAAACAACCAGGCCTGTTGTAGTTAGCTCTAACGCAAGCATGGGAAACACAGCCTCAGTCTGAGTCCCAAAGCCGCAGAATCCCCGTTCGGTGTGCCTAGCTCTTTGTAGTTTGAGGAGCACTTCCCGAGGTAAAGGCGTTAACTGACTTAAAAAGTCCAGTTTCCACTTGGGAACAGGGGCGGTCGGGGTAACCTTGTGGTTAAAGCGTTCGCTCGTCACGCCGAAGGCTCGGGTTCGATTCCCGACATGGGTACAATGTGTGAAGCACATTTCTGGTGTCCCCCGCCGTGATATTGCTGGAATATTGCTAAAAACGGCGTAAAACCATACTTACTCACTCACTCACTCGGGAAGACATTTGAGGAGTGGTTTACTTATTCCAGCTAGGGCCCCCAACCACAAATCGGTCTAAGCTCTACAACTGTTGGATATTGTTATGCTCCAATATGTTTCATAAATTGTTTTTAAATATGACATTGCATAAATAACTAAATTGTGTATATATAAACTTGGTCTCGTCGCTATATGGCTGAAATAATGCCGATGCGACCTTAAATTTTAACTCACTCACTCTATATAACTGTTGAAACTCCCAATCATAAACATGACATCTGATTGTCGTGGCGGTTATACCCTTTATTTTGTTTGTTGTTTAACCCCGAACTCAGCAATTATTGCAGCTTTATGACGCATGTCTGTAAATAATTGAATCTGGGCAAATTGATATCTTGAGCAGAGATCCAAGCCGTCAAGGTACGATGACACGTAATTAACCGAGCCAGACCATCCGATCCATTTGGTCGCATCTCAGTGTAGGTTGCTGGGAATCTGTTCATGGAATCCCCAAGGGGGGTATCCCTAAGTGAAACGGGACCAGGCCACATGTACTAACCACCCGATCAACATTGTCGTCGGATCTTAAAACAAGCATGGGGCGGTTGGGTAGCCGAGTGGTTAAAGCGTTGGCTCGTCACGCCGAAGACTCGGGTTCGATTCCCGACATGGGTACAATGTGTGGAGCCAAATTTCTGGTGTCCCCCGCCGTGATATTGCTTGAATATTGTAAGAGCGGCGTAAAACCATACTCACTCGCTCTTCTTGGTGTGGGATTAACTCAATTTAACAATAGTTTCAGGGATTTCAAAATTTATCTTGATTATGTAAACGCATCATGCCAATGATTCATTAATCCAGTTAGATCCATCTCACGCACTCACTCACTAAAACAAGCATGTAATAAGTGGTACCTCTTCCGCTCCGGATTCCGTGTATAGAAGCTGAATATGACCCATCTAATAATGGCATTACGAACATGGGGCAGTCGGGTAGCCTAGTGGTTAAAGCGTTCGCTCGTCACGCCGATCAGGTTCGATTTCCGACATGGGTACAATGTGTGAAGCCCATTTCTGGTGTCCCCCGCCGTGATATTGCTAAAAGCGGCATAAAACCATACTCACTCACTCACTATTACGAACATAGGGAGACCAGATATGTCGACATATTGCAGATAAACATGATAACGGTCGTCAGTGTTGGAGAGAAGCTTTAGTGTAGATTCATTCAATATTAGTCCTGTTTCGGGGCCGAAAGAACAAATATTCGTTCACTTGATGATATCAATATCGTATTAAAGAAGAAACATAAATATTAACGTCCAGTTAGTAATATAAATCATCATGTAAACATACGACTAAAAATATTTACCTTTGTGATCTTCCACGTGCCTAATGTATAAGATAACATTCCCTTCTGAACTTAGCCCTGACTAATTGTCCTTGTTATCAGATTGCGCGGTGATCCTGGCGAGGGGTCCAGATTGATAATAAGTTTCATATCACATGTATTAAGTAGCTCGCCTCTTATGATCATCCACGGGCAGATATGAGACAGGTTTCATATTTAGTAAGGGATGTAATCTAGGAAGGGTGCATGGAACACATCTAAAAAAATAAGGAAGTTTTGTCACAATTACGCATGGTCAGTTGTTAGGAAAAGATCCGTAAACCATGAGTACTATATCTGTATACGTCTGTGTACTACGCCAGGAACTGTGAACGTTTGTGTTCTACGTCTGGAAGTGTGAACGTTTGTGTACTACGTCAGTAAGGATGAACATTTGTGTACTACGTCAGGAAGTGTGAACGTTTGTGTACTACGTCAGTGAGGATGAACATTTTTGTACTACGTCAGGAAGTGTGAACGGTTGTGCACTACGTCAGGAAGTGTGAACGTTTGTGTATTACGTCAGTAATGGTGAACGTTTGTGTACTAGGGGCGCGTTGCAAGCGACGAATCGCTTAGAGAAAGCAAATTCATCGCTCAACCCGGCGTCTGCAATAGTTCGAAGCGCTTGCGCACTCTTCCAAAATGACTGCACAACTACCGCTTGGTTGCCTTGACGTTTGTTTGTTTGTTGTTTAACGCCGCACTCAGCAATCTTCCAGCTATATGACGGCGGTTTGTAAATAATTGAGTATGGACCAGACAATCCAGTGATTGACATCATGAGCATCTATCCACGTAATTGGGATACGATGACTTGCATCAACCATCAACCATGTCATCGAGCCTGACGATCCGCGTAATGAAGAACGTTATAGAAGAGGCTCGATGACGAGCTGATGAAATTTATGACTACTTTGAAGATGTGGAGCAGACAGAGGATGATGGGGTGTTAGCTACCTTTGCTCATTTTCTCGTTGATCCAGTCAAGAATTCCTTGTTCCGCTGTCAAAGTAAGCCGCCATTTTGGTTTGAGAACGAAGCGACCTTAGTCAGCGATTGTTTCGCTTGCATGCGGCTGAAAGTAAGCGCACTGTTGTAAGGCGAATCGCTGTACATCGCTTACAAGCGATTGGCGCTTTGCAACGCACCTAGGTCACGAACTGTAAACGTTTGTGTATTACGTCAGGAATTGTAAACGTTTGTGCACTACGTCAAGAAGTGTGAACGGTTGTGCACTACGTCAGGAAGTGTGAACGGTTGTGCACTACGTCAGGAAGTGTGAACGTTTGTGTATTACGTCAGTAACGGTGAACGTCTGTGTACTAGGTCACGAACTGTAAACGTTTGTGCATTACGTCAGGAAATGTGAACGGTTGTGCACTACGTCAGGAATTGTGAACGTTTGTGTATTACGTCAGTAATGGTGAACGTTTGTGTACTATGTCAGGAATTGTAAACGTTTGTGCACTACGTCAGGAAGTGTGAACGGTTGTGCACTACGTCAGGAAGTGTAAACGATTGTGCACTACGTCAGGAAGTGTGAACGGTTGTGCACTACGACATCTTATAAAGTAGCCCAGGACGAAATGTATCCCTGCCCTGATAACAGTGACCATGTTGTGACACTCGGCCAGCACTGGGGTGAAGCCATACTGGAATTGGATTCACGAGTTTCTCTAGTTCACGTGACTAACAACTACACCAAACTTTCTCGCGGCAGTCGTGATCTCATACAGACGCTGCTCCACTAATAGGAATTCCTCAGGCGTTGTACGAATACAATGGAGGAAGGATCGGTCGGAAAGCAGTTTACAGTGAAATCATACAATACCACTACTCCTTTGATTCCCGAGGTATTACATAGCTAACGGAATAAGCCGAGTGAAGCCGAATGTGTGCAGCCAGTGCATCATATTCCTCAACGCATGTAGATCTTGGAGTCAGAGGGATCTGTTAATATTTGATCTTGGAGTCAGATGGCTGTGTTCAAGTTCGACAGAAGTCAGATGGCTGTGTTCAAGTTTAACAGAAGTCAGATGGCTGTGTTCAAGTTTAACAGAAGTCAGATGGCTGTGTTCAAGTTTGACATTGAAGTCAGATGGTTGTGTCCAAGTTTGACATTGAAGTCAGATGGCTGTGTTCAAGTTTGACAGAAGTCAGATGGTTGTGTTCAAGTTTGACAGTGAAGTCAGATGGCTGTGTTCAAGTTTGACAGAAGTCAGATGGCTGTGTTCAAGTTTGACAGAAGTCAGATGGCTGTGTTCAAGTTTGACAGAAGTCAGATGGTTGTGTTCAAGTTTGACAGTAAAGTCAGATGGCTGTGTTCAAGTTTGACATTGAAGTCAGATAGCTGTGTTCAAGTTTGACAGTGAAGTGAGATGGCTGTGTTCAAGTTTGACAGTGAAGTCAGATGGCTGTGTTCAAGTTTGACAGAAGTCAGATGGCTGTGTTCAAGTTTGACAGAAGTCAGATGGTTGTGTTCAAGTTTGACATTGAAGTCAGATTGGCTGTGTTCAAGTTTGACATTGAAGTCAGATGGCTGTGTTCAAGTTTGACAGAAGTCAGATGGTTGTGTTCAAGTTTGACAGAAGTCAGATGGCCGTGTTCAAGTTTGACAGAAGTCAGATGGCTGTGTTCAAGTTTGACCTTGAAGTCAGATGGCTGTGTTCAAGTTTGACAGAAGTCAGATGGCTGTGTTCAAGTTTGACATTGGAGTCAGATGGTTGTGTTCAAGTTTGACATTGGAGTCAGATGGCTGTGTTCAAGTTTGACATTGGAGTGAGATGGCTGTGTTCAAGTTTGACATTGAAGTGAGATGGTTGTGTTCAAGTTTGACATTAAAGTGAGATGGTTGTGTTCAAGTTTGACATTGAAGTGAGATGGTTGTGTTCAAGTTTGACATTGGAGTCAGATGGTTGTGTTCAAGTTTGACATTGAAGTCAGATGGTTGTGTTCAAGTTTGACATTGAAGTCAGATGGTTGTATTCAAGTTTGACATTAAAGTGAGATGGTTGTGTTCAAGTTTGACATTGGAGTGAGATGGCTGTGTTCAAGTTTGACATTGGAGTGAGATGGCTGTGTTCAAGTTTGACATTGGAGTCAGATGGTTGTGTTCAAGTTTGACATTGAAGTCAGATGGTTGTGTTCAAGTTTGACATTGAAGTCAGATGGTTGTGTTCAAGTTTGACATTGAAGTGAGATGGTTGTGTTCAAGTTTGACCTTGAAGTGAGATGGTTGTGTTCAAGTTTGACCTTGGAGTCAGATGGTTGTACCGTGTGTGTTCATGTTTGACCTTAGGTAAGGCGAGGTGGCAGAATGATGTTCAGGGTTGTGCAACTCGCCTTCAAGATCATTTCACATCTATAGTGGTGTGCATGCTCTTGTGTGTGGCTGTTTGTACGAGTCCAGACTAATGCAGGTTTTATAGTTCTAGGCCACCGAGATACCATGCCTCAGTTTAAAATGGATACCCCACTCGGACACATTACACCGACTCCAAGTACTTCTATTAACCCCTTAAGGCTTAGTGCCAAGCAAGGTAACAAGCACCATATTTTGATATCTTTTGGTATGATACAGTTAGGGGTTTGAACCCCCAACCTTCCGCTTTCCGGGCAGACTCTCTATCCACCACACAATGGATCTTGAAGTCAGATAAACGTTGTCTTTTTGTGGTTGGTGTCAGATGAAAGTGTTCATGTTTGATGTTTGGGTCAGAATGATTGTGTCCATGTTTGATGTTGAAGTCGAATGAATGTGTCCTTGTTCGATCCTGGAGTCAAATCACTGTGTTATGTTTTATCTTTGGATCAGATGACTGTGTTGAATATAGGTGTGTGATCATGAGTGTTCATGAATACAAATATGTGCTGGAGGTGAAACACAATAATACCACCAGGCTACACATGACACATATCTTTGATGGCTTCAGTCCATACCAGCTTACACAAACCCCAATCAAACAAGTTGCTTTCTTTGTAGTACAGTTCTTGGTTAAATGCAAGTGTGCTTTTTCACTAATTTCTAGCACCACCTTGTAGATACTGATTATCAAATATTTTTTCATCCATGGCTTTCGAGGCGGTTGGGCAGCCTAGTGGTTAAATTGTTCAGTTGTCACGCTGAAGACCCGGGTTCGGTTCGCCACATGGGTACAATGTGTGAAGCCCATTTCTGATGTCCCCTGGCATGATATTGCTGGAATATTGCTAAAAGTGACGTAAAACCATACTCACTCACTCACCACTCCTTATGTTTCAAAACATGTATGTCAAGATGTTGTCTCAGTTCCTGCTACTTGTTCTATTGGGGGCGGTTGGGTAGCCTAGTGGTTAAAGCGTTCGCTCGTCACGCCGAAGACCCGGGTTCGAATCACGACATGGGTTCAATGTGTGAAGCCCATTTCTGGTGTCCCCTGCCGTGATATTACTGGAATATTGCTAAAAGAGGCGTAAAACCGTACTCACTCACTACTTGTTCTATTTTTCACCTTTTGTGACAGACTCCTGGTCAATCCAGACCTCATGTCTTGGCTCCTGTAGACAGCTCAGTATTTATCATATAATGGGTAGGTTTCTCGGCAGGATAAAGCCAACGGATAAAAACGATATCCGTTGGGGTCATATGCGGATAGAGATGCAAATATCAAAGGTCAAGTAGGACTACTTTCACTGTTTATAAACAAACATGGCGTCGCCCTCGTCATTCGGCGATCGAGTCAAAATTAACCATCCGGAATCTGGATAAACTACAGGGATAATTGCTATCATTGTCCAAAAAATAGTCTGATATACTGAGAATCAGTGTCTAACTGTGACGCAGCTAAGGCATTTTATAAGTTTTGACAACTTTGGAGATATAAATTTTGAAACAATTTTGCGAGGGCACGAGGCCTAGCCAAGCGGGATCAGTAGCCATATCTGTGCTTGTAGACCTCTGCGGCTTAAAACCTTCTCCACATATTAAAATAGTTGGATTGGGTCGAAATATGTTTGAATTGTTACCTTGTTTCGGTTTGTCGCTGTGTGTACATCTGACTACACTTCTTAACGTAATGACAGGACAGACCGACTGTCAACAACGTCTGACCGTGGCCGTGACGTCTCATAGACTAGGGTTAGAGTAGCCGAGTAGCTTCCCTTTGACAAAGGGCAGTTACTCTAGCGGACAGACCGACGGATTGCCGCGAAAGGCAATTAAAAACAACTGTTGTTTTGCGTATATGTTGCTTCGCCACTGTATAAGAAACAGATTTCAGTTAGAACTATATTGGCTACTGTCACTGTCCGACTGACACATCACTTACCCTGTGACGGAATAAATATTAATGCGCGCATTCCAGGAAAACTCGCAATGTTTCGGTAATGTTTGTGAGAGAGGGAAAGCGATTTTGAAGCACAGAATTAAAGAATGACATTATATGATAAAGAGGTTATCACGCTTGTGTGTTTGGGGATGGTAAATATCCTGTATTAGGAATAAACACTATGTATTTAGCTCGCCAAGGCTCGCTAAATACAATGTTTATTCCTAATGCAGGATATTTACCATCCCCAAAAACACTCGCGTGATAACCTCTATATATCATATCAGAGTGTAATATTTCTAACAAATAGCCTCTTTGGGATATTGGTGTAGAATTGGAACCCTATAACCTATACCTGTCGTAAGAGTCAACCAAAATTGTCAGCCTGTGGATTGCGTTTATTAACAACACCAATATGATCCTACAGTCACATGACCACACAGTCACATGACCAAACAGTCACATGACCAAACAGTCAGGGCACTGGTTTAAGTAAGCCTAGATACAACTTGTTGGAGGTGTGCATTTTGTGATTTGTAAGCAATCATGTAATTTTGTTGAAAATACATCACCAAATGAGCTGATCATAGTGTTGTCACAAAGTCAGATTCAGAACACCCAATCACCTTCATAGCCTCCGAATGTATGAATGTTTCATGTATTTTAAAGGAAGAAACAAGGTTTCACAAATGCCATCAAGTCATCTTACTGTTCATCCAAATGTACAGACCAAAATGACCACAGGTACCTATATCACATTCCTTACAATCACAAGTGTTTAAAATTTAAGATTATTTTATTTTTTCCATGATACTTGACATACAATGAACAAACAATGCTAAATATTATTACCATGGAAACAGAATATGGTAATTCAATGACTCCAACAAAGTTCATTCATCATCTTTAATATTTGTACAACAAAAACTGTCTGATCCCAATAACAACATGTGTACATCCTTGCCATAATATTCAGATTTTCATTCAATATTTTTTATCTGCCTAAATGGCTAAATATAAATCGTCAGGTCTGGGAAATATCTTCAACTTACAATCAGTGATCAAGTTAACAGCAATCTGATGTCTTGAAGAGAAGTGACAGTATGAAGGCACATATTCCCTAGTGAGATGGAGGTGGAGGAGACGATGTACAGACGCAGACACTGGTGAGTGATACGAGGCTGCCGACGCCCTATTGGTCTGCTGGATACAGAACTCTGTGGTATCCGGATGCCATGGAATCTGATACGCAGACATGGCAGAGGTCAATATTACATTGCTGCAATTTTTTTTCTTCGAAGAGTGATAAATCAATAAAATAGTTAGCTCACCTAATGAGCTTGCATGGTTTATAAATTGGATGCCGAGACAAATAAAGTGGTGTGCCTGATGCCTGGAGTGTGGCATCCTCTGATACATCTTCCCAAAGCAAGTGAGTTAACTGACTATAAAAGTCCAGTTTCCACCCTTGCCGAACTAGGCTGGTATTATGGAGTTACATTTTGGCTGGACTAACGAGTCTATGCATAGTCCAATTAAAATCTGGTTCGTAAACTGTCATGCAGATTTCGGTCGATTGCAGGATTTGCAAAGCATGTGCACCGCCAACTCAATGTCAGCAGATATTTTCCAAATCTTTTCATGTTTTTAATCAAGGTGCTCACGTGATTTGATGCATTTCGTGATGTAAGACCCGTTTTCTCACAATATAGATCTTGATTATCGACAGATCGCCCTGACTGGGCGCCACCATTTTGGGTGAAGCAAACGCAAGTGATACGAGAGGTGGAGTCTCACTGGTCCATAGGAGAGGCTTAGCGGGGACATAACTGGTAATAGCCATTGATGACGCTACGAATGAGCCCAGTAATTCCAGCCTAGTTCGGCAAGGGTGGAAACTGGACTTTTAAAGACAGTTAACTCTCTTGCCTTAGGAAGATGGCTCTGATATGGCTTTTTGTCTGTCAGCTGGGGGGGCTGAGGCACATGTAATATCACAGCTGATTGGTTCTACTGGACGGAGGACTCACTGAAATAATCTGTAAAATAAAGAAAGAAAATCATGACATAACAATGTCTAATGTGAGATGGTTGAGTAGCATATCATGAGGTTGGGTATTGTTACAGAACATTACATGAGTTGAAATAAGGACCACAAGTTATTTGGCAGGAAAAAAAAATCCTATAGTTCCCGAGACTAAACTGACTCTACTACATATTGGTGTCTAGTACCGGTAATTGATGGAACATGGCATGTATTGAGTTGTCATGTGTTGTATCACGCTGTATTGTATATCATACTGTATATCATATTGCATATCATATTGCATATCATACTGTATATCATATTGTATATCATATTGCATATCATATTGCATATCATACTGTATATCATATTGTATAGCATACTGTATAGTATATTACATATCATACTGTTTATCATACTGTTTATCATACTGTATATCATATTGCATATCGTTCTGTATATCGTATTGCTTATATTGTAAAGCATATTGTATATCATACTGTATAGCATATTGTATATCATACTGTATATCTTACTGTGTAGCATATTGTATACCGTACTGTATATCATATTGTATATCATACTGTATAGCATATTGTATATCTTACTGTGTAGCATATTGTATACCGTACTGTATATCATATTGTATATCATACTGTACATCATCTTGTTTATCATTGAGATACAGATTGTATTGCATTTGCCCTCGTTCCTGATCGCTATTCTTGCTATTCGGTACTTACAATGACTAATATGTGGTTGTCTCCCTTGATCTGCGTTCAGCCAGACGTCTGTATCGCTCCAGTTCCTGCAGGAGTATCATATATTTTTACCATATGATAAATCATGAAGGGTATACATGCATCACTATTGATGGAATTTAAAGGAAATCACTTAAAACAAAGGATGGTGTCTTACTTCACATACATAACATGTACAATAAACATGCTGTTAAATTAACAAAAACCAATTTCAACAAAATGAACTGCATTACCACCTTCTCAATACAACTGGCACTTACAAAGTTTTATAAAGAATCCCAAACAACTTTAATGTAACTACTTTTAGTAGTATTTGCCAAAAATAATAAAATTTGGTAAATGATTTATGCCATAAATGACTGCAAGACTTGAATGTATGTGATGGCTCCTCCTGAACAACATCATGCCTGCTTCCAGTCGTATAAATGTCCACGAAACAGACACACATGATTGTGAGTGGAAGCTAGGGCTGGGACAGGTAACTCGGGTACCCGGTTCGGGTGGGTACTGAGTAGGACCTGGGTACATAAAGGACCACCCGGACCCGTGGTTAGCCACGTGATATACATGTATTGCTTAATGACAAAAATTATCTAGAACTCTATGGAACTACAAGTCACTTATGTTCGCAGTTCTTCTTGCACCATTCCTTCTGATTGTTCATATGGTTGAATAAACATATAACTTAATTCAGCTTCAGTGTTTGAATGACCAGATTGTTTAATATATTTATCTAAATACGTTATGCCAGGGCTATGCTAAAAAAGTTCCCAATCGGACATGTTGTATCTCTTGAGACCTACAGCGGGTACCCGGGTAGGGTCGGGTTATAGGGGGGTGGGTACGGGGTAGTAAATTTGGACTCGTCCCAGCCCTAGTGGAAGCTATGGATAAACAACCTCCACAACATGGCCACTCACTTCATCTTTCTGCGCTCGAAGTGTATCGATGGCAGCCTCCACAAACTGGGGATCCTTGGCTGGGTCTTCCACAATTGCTGGGTTGTTGGTGTTCTGTCAAACACAAACATGAATGAAACTTGACATTACAAACACAACAGCCACTTAAAGGGGACTTGCGTCCACAGCATGTTGCCCATGTTCATTCTGGGTCGAAGACATTGACATTTGTTCCATGACTGAAGTAGAGACTGTGTAACAAGATCTGTATGTCGTCAAACAAATAACTATCTTCCTGAGGCAAGAGAGTTAGCCGACTATAAAAGTCCAGTTTCCACCCTTGCCAAACTAGGCTGGAATTACGGAGTTATGTTTTGGCTGGACTAACGAGTCTATGCATAGTCCAATGAACATCGTGTAACGAAATCAACTTGTGGTTCGTAAACAACATGGATTTCAAAGTGCAGATTTTCGGTTGACTGCAGGATTTGGAAAGGATGTGTACGGCCAACGGGGCTTCGACTGATGTTTTCTAAATCCTTTCTTGTTTCAAGTCAAGGTGCTCACGTAATTTGATGCACTTCGCAAGGTAAGACCTTTAATTACAACATAGATCTTGTTCATCGATCAGATCGTCTTGACTGGGCGCTACCATTTTGCTTGAAGCAAATGCAAGTGATGTGAGAGGTGGAATCTGATTGGTCAATAGGAGGGCATAGAAGGGACACAACTTGTAATAGCCACTGGTGGCGCTACGATCAAGCCCAGAAATTCCAACCAATTCGGCATGGTGTTACAAAAAGTTTAATCGAACTTGCATGGTCTGTCTGAGCTAAGTTTCTCATTAAAGGGGGCGATGTCTGCTGCCAAAATTCCAATCTCATTAAAATCAGATCTCAGTTTTGCTACCGCTGACGTGACCCCTAATGAGATGTCTTCAGATCTTTGTTTTGCGGTAGAGAGAACTAAGGTCTGATTTTAATGAGATTGCCCAAATTCAATATAGTTTGTGACATTATCATGATTATAACTAGTGCCTTTGTGAAACAGAGACAGTGTCTCTATGTGATGAGGATAATGAACTGCTAGACTGACATACGGAACTTTTTGTGTGAGTGAGACCAAGTGGCGATGAAGAACACTGGCAATGTTCCTAAGGCTCGCCCCATTGAGAAAAATAAACTCTCTGCTAAAACTAATTATCTACTGTATCCAATCTCTTGGAAAAAAAATACGAGGGTTGATTCAAAAGTGCTTAGCTTCACGTGGAAGGAATTGTTTAAGTGAAATCTTTTGTTGTTAACATGACATGATGTCAGAGGTATATTCTCAAAATATTTGTCAACCGAGCAAATTGTTTCGCTGTGACAAATCAGTGAAATAAGCTGGGGCTGTGACCTTTGCAAAATTGACAAACTTGAGGAACATTTTGTTTTGAATATTTTAAACTTTACAGATTTCTCAATTGTTCAGGTGAGGTGAAATGGGGTTTAACGTCGCGTCCAAGATTATTGCACTTATATACCGACGTGCTTGTACCCGTGTGTGTTTGTGTGGCTGCTTGTACTAGTCCGGACTGATGCTGATTTATAGTGCTAGCCCACTGAGATACCATGCCGCAGTTTAACATGAATACCCCACTCAGACACAGTATACTGACTCTGAGCCGACCAGTCCTTGTTTTAGCCCCTTAATGCCGAGCGCCAGACAGGGTAACAACAAGTACCATCTTTTAACGTCTTTTGGTATGACGCGGCCCCGGACCTTCCGCTCTCTGGGCGGACGCTCTACCACTAGACCACGGAGGCGGTCCTCTCAATTGTTCAAAATAAGAGGACCAACTCTTGGGTAAGTAAACATGTACATAATCTAACACATGAATATTGTGTTGAATCACTTACCTCCCCGTCAACATTCATCTGGTGGCAGTAACACAAAGGACATAGTCATTACTTTCAGGATTTCCAAACTATCTTTGTCTTCAACAATGTTTAAAAAATAAGTAAACCATGTTCTGCAAATATGTTTTTAAACCCTCTTGAAATGTTTGCTCAAACTCTTAATGACAACCAAACCATCAGCGTCCAAATCAAATGGTCTAAATATGTGATATGTTCCTCTTTCCCATGAAGATACATGTGTATGTTACTGGTCTCAAGGAACCAGACATGGAAGCTTCTCTCACGCTAATCCCACTGGCTTCCTCATTACATTGTTATCTGACCCGTGAAGATCCGGGGTGGAATAGGTCTTCAGCAACCCATGCTTGCCGAAAAAGGCGACTATGCTTGTTGTAAGAGGCGACTAACTGGATCGAGTGGTCAGGCTCGCTGACTTGGTTGATGCCTGTCATCGATCCCAATTGTGTGGATCGATGCTCATGATATTAATGACTGGATTGTCTGGTCCAGACTCGATTATTTACAGACCGCCGTCATATAGCTGGAATATTGCTGAGTGTGGCGTTAAACAACAAACAAACTAACCAACATTGTTATCTTTGTACAATAATCCTACCTGTGTTAACATATCAGCAATAACTCAAAACGCTTACTTGGTATTCACCTTATTAGGGGCAAGAGGTAGCCAAAAACGTTGTTAACAACAGATAATGAAGACATTGTTATAATATTTGGAACAAAGCTTGAACACAGACACATTATTAATGCAAGTACTTTTTTCCCTCCTGTCAGGGATAAAATAATTGTTTTTGTCAGAAGATTTTTTTTAACATGTTTAATATTGTAATTTTTTTGTCTTGGTCATATGTTCAGGAAAACCCAAGAATAATGGCTGTTCCTCTGAAATATTGCGCAAGTTTATCGGAATTCAGAATTGATTAAATAGGGGTGAAGGGTGTAAGAGCATGTTATTCCACTTAAACTGACCTCTTGAGGAAAGTGCCCAGTAAACGCCTTCTTCCACAGGTCCATTGGAGTCCTGTCATAAACAATAAAGACAAAGTTGTACATAGAGATGGTTCAATCACAGGGGGTGTAATAACCAGACCCGTATTACACCCCCTGCCCAGCTGATATGACTTAGTAATGGATTTTGCAAAGGCGATTGATATCAGTCCGGGAGTTACACCCATTAGTGTGTCGTCTGCTCAGCTAGCTTTCTCATGACAATGTCTTGCAAACATAGTGAAAATGCATTGCGTTCACTTGCAAATAGAATTATGGAGCTTGAAGCTGTCTAGGACAAATTTAAAAGCGAAACAGACACGGATGGTTTTGTGAACAACATGAAAAACAAGAACATGGTACGTAAAACCGACATGAAGTTATTCAGATACAATTTGGTCACAGTTGGCGAGATGCGAGATCCATCACTCAATGTTTTATGAATGGATACGTTTTACAATTTGAAATAAGGCATATGATAAAAAGGAAGTCTTCATATCATACCCCATACCTCGGGCTGATATGGGGGTCTCGGGCTGATATGGGGTCTCGGGCTGATATGGGGGTCTCGGGCTGATATGGGGGTCTCGGGCTAATATGGGGGTCTCGGGCTGATATGGGGGTCTTTGGCTGATATGGGGTCCCGGGCTGATATGGGGGTCTCGTGCTGATATGGGGGTCTCGGGCTGATATGGGGGTTTCGGGCTGATATGGGGTCTCGGGCTGATATGGGGGTCTCGGGCTGATATGGGGGTCTCGGGCTGATATGGGGGTCCAGGGCTGATATGGAGTATGATATGATAATTGCCATATAATAACCTCAAACGCCAGGGCCTAATGTGATCCTTTGTCAACAGTCCTTGTACGTTTTTCTTGGTATCTTTTGTAGATGTCTCAAGTAGTGCAACTGCTCAAATGTCAATCTCAAACTCAGATGGCAGTTGCCCTGACCTCAACGTCTGGAAAAGATGCCCTGGGAAAGCCATACAATAACTATTACATACCTACCTTGCATGTACACGTCCTATGTCATCGTCTGAGAGTGGGGGGTTGCCTGGAGTAGGAGCATAACAATTATTACTCTCAACACTGACACAAAACAAAGTTTTGTTTGTTTGTTAATTTGTTTAACGCTGCACTCAGCAATATTCCAGCTATATGATGGCGGTCTGTAAATAATTAAGTCTGGACCAGACAATCCAGTGATTGACATGATGAGCATCGATCCATGCAATTGGGATCGTTGACATGCATCAACCAAGTCAGTGAGGCTGACCACCCGATCCCGTTAGTCACCTCTTACGACAAGCACAGTCGCCATTATGACAAGCATGGGTTGCTGAAAGATGCCATGCCAAATAAATCATTCGTTCTGTGGACTTCATTCCCTAAGTGGGGGTACATAGGATGTTTGTTTTGAATTATTATGTTGAAATATCTTCTGTAAAATATTATTCTTACACAATAAATGCATCTAGAAAAATTGTGTATTTAAGATTAATGAAGATCCACATTTAGCATATGTTATTTCTGACTAAGTGGCATCTGTTCTGAATAGCTGCACTGAAAGTTGACATCTATAAGTCAATGACTCCCTACCAATGGTCTGCAGAGAGTCCAGTCCTGCCGGGACAAACAGAGGCTTATTATGCTCGACCTGCATGTTTTTACTGAAACACAACATGGAGAGGTGAATATATCAGATCTGATCAACAAAAACAAGAACAACAACAACAACAACAACAACAACACAATAGAAGGCCAAAGCACATCTTGAACAGGCTTTCTTCCTCGGTTGTAGTTCCTTCGCACAACATGTAAATATGATGGCAAAATTTCAGTTTAATACAAGGCAATGTTTGTTTGTTGTTTAACGCTGCACTCAGCAATATTCCAGCTATATGATGGCAGTCTGTAAATAATTGAGTGTGGACCAGAGAATCCAGTGATTGAAATCATGAGCATCGATCTACATAATTGGGATACGATGACATGCATCAACCAAGTCAGTGCGAATGACCACCTTACGACAAGCATAGTTGCCTTTTTAATGGCATTCTAACATGGATCTTCACGGTTACACAAGGCAATGTCTGGAATGGAAAGGCCAACAGGCCATGGAGCACTATCCAATCTTTCATATGATCAAGTGTTTTCATGGCATTCCATCCTGAGACAAGAGCATCCACAAGCCTAGTTTCACCCTTGCCCTTTCAAGAAGACTTTTCTGTGCTAAACAGACTCACTTTGGAATACGACTATCGCACATATTGATAGTCCAGTCAGAGTACAGTTTACAAAATCAACATCTGGGTTCCGAAAACATGACCGCTGATATGGCTACAGCCATTGTGTGTTGAATTATTCCAACAGTTAATGCTAATCACTGTGACGGAGATGCAGTGCTATATTATGACTACCACTACTAAGCATTTCATGTTACCGCGATGTGCAGTGTTACTTGATACTGTGTTGTCTGTGAGCCTCCATTAATGCTGCAGTAATAAGTATCTTTACTGTGGTAATCTGTCATTCGGTTGTGTGCCAGGGATAAAAACTCAGGGATAAAATAATCTGATCAACCAGGTTGTTATGCTGTTGTAGTCAGTTGAAACAGGAACAGCGATCTGATTGATCAACGATTGAGCAAAGAAATTAGATTTCTCATTTTTATAACGAGAGACGCGGCTCGTGCCCTACATGGATTGGTGCCATGATCGAGACAAGAATTGGATATCTCGTTTTTATCACGAGAGACACGGCTCGAGCCCTAGATGGGTTGGTTCCATGATCAAGACAAGAATTGGATATCTCATTTTTATCATGAGAGACACAGCTCGAGCCCTACATGGTTTTTATCACGAGGGACGTTACCTTGGGTTTGTCCGGAACAGGTGATGATTGATGATACCTTGCATCCGTTTAACAGTGGTCTCCATCTTGATGCTGAAGAACTGAACAGGAAGACTTGGATTGTTAGGGAGCAGCCATTTTATTTGGGGGGGGATCAGCTTTCAAATATCAAAACAAAATTCAGAAACATTACCCATGGCTAACTTTATCAACTGATAATTAAGAACTCACTTGTTCATCAACAGATCTCTCAGGATGCTGTTAGTCTGAAGACAAATGCTCATTGTCTTTCGACACAAAAGTTTTTGTCAACATGTGACATTCTTTGTTGAGACATTTACGGTAATGTGACCTCACCTGAGTCTTAACCTGGGTTGACTTTTGATATCTTATACTTCTAGGCCTTTCAGTTTGTCACCATGTCACAAGAGATCATTAAATGATGACTTGGTGGTTACAATGTTAGACCTGGCTGATTGTGTGTGTCCTTGCCACAATTGTTTCTTTGATTGTCTTGACTGGCTTAGTCAATGGGACTGTGACATTCCTAACAGTGACACAAAATACATTCGTTCACGGACCATCTGACGGCCATCCTTTATTATCCAGTGTATATCTCCCTGTTATCAATATTCTGCACCCACTCGCTACAATCATGTTGACTAGAGCCCAATTTAAATCCCGTCCAACCAAATTACAGAGAAAGTCTCTGCTAAGTTATTAATATGATGACCCTTCGGTTATGTCACTGGATAATGGAGGATGGCAGACGCTGTTGCCGACCTACCTGCAGAGATGCACCCTGGGAGTGAGCCACAAATCTCAGAGTCTTGCATATCACCTTCCGCTTCTCAGAGTCAAAGTCCTGGACAAATACATCAACTAAAGTCTCAGCCATGTCAACACAAATTGTATATGTGGTATTTCTAGTGGTATAATTACTAACAAAATGTCTTGCATGTGCATATAATATATTAAGAAATGCACACACACACAAAAAAGATTTAATAAAATTGAAACGAATGTAGTCAATAAATTTGAGAAGTTGAAACATACAATAATAAAAAATAATCTATTTCATGTCACTAGCAAAGATTCCTCAAAGAACCATGAAGATCCAGTTTAGAATTGGTCTTCAGGGACTATGCTTGTCGTAAGAGGCGACTAATGGGATCGGGTGGTCAGATTTGCTGACTTGGTTGATGCATGTCATCATATCCCAATTGCGTAGATCAATGTTCAAGACGTCAATCACTGTATTACCTGGTCCAGACTCTATTTACAGAGTAAAACAAACAAACAGATTCCTCACCTGAAACACATCATATTTGCTCCCTACAATGACCAGAGGCATCAGGAAGGGATCAATCATACTCTTGTCCTGAAATAATAAAAAAGATTCCCTCAAAAACCGATTGTCAACCATGACATGTCAGGGCTCTTCAAACTTGGTACTTGATTCAGCTCAAAAAAATGGAAAAAGTGACAATTAGGATTCAGGTCACTATTGCAACAAGTATCAAAAACTGAAATTCATCCTTCGGGGAGACAATTTACAGGGACAGAAATTAGCTTAAAAATTTAGCCGGCTAAAAGTGAAAAAGTATTGAGACACTCCCTTAAAAAAGGCAAAACTGACACTAGTCTTCAGGATACTTTAACCCCCAAGATGCCATTTGGACATATATGTCCCTACACAAAACACAGTTGCTGTGCCAGAGGGACATATATGTCCTTCTGAAACATCATGTTAAAAGAGGTAAAATATCTGTGGGGGGGTGTATATAAAAATTGTGTTGTTTTCACAACTATACTGTCAATATATAAAGCATACGAATTAGTCAAATTTCCCTTGTTTATATTGGCACTCAAATGTGCTGCCATTGAAATATTTTTTCTGTTTGAACAAATTGCAAAGACTGATTGAAAATCCCCATGAAGGAATGTTTAAAACCTTTAAAACTATACTGGTTAAAGGTTTGAAAAGGATCAAATCTCTACGCATCTATGTAGTAATAAGCTCATGAAATCTACTAAAGAAAGGTATGCAGTTTTCACAATGTCACTCACAAATAAACTTGGCACGGTGATAGTACACAGGATATTTTTATGTGGCAGTCCGAGGGTTAACACTGGGTGAACTTGCACACGGGGATAGTACTTAAAACTTGTACCATCCATGCCTTGTTCATCTCCTATCATTGAATTGTACAGTGAGGCAGATGTCCCCATGTTCTTAGGTGTCACAGAGACTTACCTCCCTTTTCCATGCTAGGATAGGCTGATTGTTGGTTTGAGTAACAGCTTCTCCACAATTATTATCCTTGGTCTGATAGCACCAATTGCTCGTGTTCATGGACATATCATGCCACTGCCTCACTTTGGGCTTTCTTCCCCATGCCGTGATATAACTGAAATACTGTTCAAAGCACTCACTCTCTCTCTCAACTTACCGGGTGTTCTTCCCCGATTCTTTCCCAGGCAATCTTTTTCAGTTTGTCTCTGATGTGAGGATCAGCCTGTTTCATCTCGGCAATGACGTTCTCCACGCGGGATCGCGCTGCTGTTAGAAGACTCTCCAGCGTGAACCACATCTGTGTCGGTGTGGACAGGTCAAGGACAATCACCAGGGAGGTGTGCCTAAATAGGAATCACTGTCATGGTTCAACAAGCAGAGACTAGGCTACTCATTCACAAGCTTGGCTTGACAATTTTTGATTATCCTCATGCTATTTGTTTTCGAATTCTTAAGAAACATTCGTAGTTTTCTCTTTAATCACATGAACAACTGTAAAACATCTCTTTCGCTTATAAAAGACAACTTTCCCTTAAAAACAAGCCATCATCTGAGTATTTACAATATCTGAGTGATGCTTCACCCCTTGTTATAGAGCGAGTAATCGCAATAAACATGGCCGACGATATTTTAATACTGACAGAGGCATTCATGATCTTTTCGGTTTCTAAAATATACTTTAACACATTTAGACAAAAAATTAAATGATTATTTCCAATCAAATGGACATTTGTTTAAAATGAATATCCCACTATCCTTACATTGGTGTTTTGAAAATTTAGATGAACTAGAGAATGATAGTGTAAAAGTAAAATTAATTGGTCAATTCCTGAAACAGACGATACCTAGAGGACTGATGATATCCTACTTAGTGAGGAAGGAATCTATTCTGTAGAACTCACATTATGGTCTCTGGGTTGATGGGTATATCCATCAGTTTAGACAGCCATGTTCCTCCACCCAGCTCCCAGATGTGACCCACATCCTTTGCCTACACACAAACAGAAATAAGGGATGTATTGAAACACATGCACCGCTGGACCTCAACCATCTTCCCGAGGCAAGCATGCCGACTAGTTTGTATTAAAGCCTAGTTTCTTTGATAAACAGGCTAGTGGACACCCTTGCCTCGGGAAGATGGACCTAACTGGATTAATGAATCAATGGCATGATGCGTTTACATAATCAAGACCTGTTTTCTGTTAAATAACTGAACTTTTTAATCCCTGAAACTCTTGTCACATTGAGTAAGAGTGAGTATGGTTTTACACCGCTTTTAGCAATATTCCAGCAATATCACAGCGGAGGACACCAGAAATGGGCTTCACACATTGTATCCATGTGGGGAATCGAACCCTTCGGCACGACGAGCAAAAAGTTTAACCACTAGGCTACCCCACCACTCGCCCAAGGAGAAGAAATGGGACTAGAAAGATAGACATGCATAGATGGTCACATGATACTTTGACAGTGACAAACATGGCTCTACCATTGGTACAGATGACATTAGTAACTGAAAAGACCTTGCTGAAATATATACAGTATCATTTAGTACAGGAGTTTCCAAGCCTATTTGAACAAGGTTTGTGACATATTGACATGGAATTCATACAAATTGGCATCAACCTCTTTAACATTACCAACACATCCCCAATTTAACAAAGGACAGAAGATCAAGAGTAGACCTGAATCATTAGTTGGAACTAATCAAAATGTAATGGATCTAGACTGGATTTAAACTGGATATCGACTTGATCTAAACTTGACCCAGGTAACCATGGCAACATTTCTTTGGATAAGCCAACCAAACCCCTAGGTCAGTCTTAAACTACATTTCAAACTTAAACTGGATCTAAACTGGACCACATTTGGACCTAAACTTGACCCCAAACTGGATCTAGATTATATCTAAACTGAACCTAAACTGGATCTTGACTGGATCAAACCAGGACCAAATCTGGACCTAAACTGGATTTAGACTGGATATATAGACTGGACCTCATCTTGATATAAACTTGATCTAAACTTGATCCCCAGTAATTAGGGCTGGGACGAGGCCAAATTTACTACCCGGGTACCCACCCCCTATTACCCGACTCTACCATGCTCTACCCGGGTACCCACTGTAGGTATCAAGAGATACAAAATGTCTGATTGGGATTTTTTTTACCACAGCACTTGCAAAACGTATTTAGATACATGTTTTAAACAATCTGGTCATGCATACTGAAGTTGACTTAAGTTATATCTTTATTCAACCATATGAAAAGTCAGAAGTAATGGGTGCATAGTCAGAAAAAAATGCAAACATATTGACTTGTAGTGCAAGCATAGAGTTCTAGATAATTTTTGTCATTAAACAAATATAACACGTGACTAAACATGAGTCCGGGTAGTCATGTGGGTACCCGGGCCCTGCTCAGTACCCACCCAACCCAGGTAACAGAGTTATCTGTCCCTGCAATACCGGTAACCATGGCAACATTTCTGTAGATAAGCAAACCACATTATTTTTTACATGGGCTGTAATATAGTTGTGGTTATTCTGCTCCAAATACACAAGGGGGCGGTCGGGTAGCCTAGTGGTTAAAGCGTTCGTTCGTCACGCCGAAGACCCGGGTTCGATCCCCGACATGGGTACAATGGGTGAAGCCCATTTCTGGTGTCCCCCGCCGTGATATAATGCTGGAATATTGCTAAAAGCGGCGTAAAACCATACTCACTCACTCCAAAATACACAAGAAAGTATGTGTTTTGAGATGTCAGTGTTGGTCGTAATATTAGCTTACAATGTTGTGTCCTTTAGCACGTCTTCCAAATGTGTATTCCAGGGCTACTGTTGGCTTGGGAGGCTCATCTCTGGAATGACAACATCATACAGTTATTGGAAACTTTTGCGGGAGAAGTTAGAAACAACAAAATAAAAACTATGTTAACCATGCATAATATCACAAGTCTGTCACTGCAAGAAGGATCAAGTGTGGATTTATCTAAGTTGTATTGAGCAGAATTTCAGCAATATCACAGTAAGTAAACATAAATAATGACCTTCAAATATTGTATTTGTTTCTTTGTTGTTTAATGCCGCACTCAGCAATATTCCAGCTATATGACTGCGCTCTGTAGACCAGACAATCCAGTGATTTACATCCTGAGCATCCATCGACGCAATTGGGATCGATGACGTGCATGAACCAAGTCAGCGGCGAGCCTGACCGCCCAATCCCGTTAGTCGCCTCTTACGACAAGCATAGTCATCTTTTACGACAAGCATGGGTTGCTGAAGACCTATTCTACCCCGGATCTTCAGGATTTCTGATTGTAAACTTGAAACAGTGTGTATTGTACCCATGAGGAATTGTACATGACACTTCAACACGACACATCAACTCATTAACATGATTAAGCATTGCGTCATCCAATCAAAACAATACTTTTAAACTGCAACAACTATTGTACAAAGTGCATAATTGAGTGAGTTGGGTTTAACGCCGCTTTTAACAGTATTAGTTATATCACGGCGTGTCAGCTTAATGTGGGAGGAAAGCCCGAAGTGATGCAGGTCTTAGACGTTTACCACTTCGGTGAAACCCACGAGCACGGGTATGGTGTTGACAATCCTAGAAACATAATCGGGGAGAACCGGGATTCGAACCCACAATCATAGGTTTCTGGCGTGCCCACGGGACGCAACTCTGCACAGCGATTCGCGGCGCCTTAGACGACTGGGCCACCCGTGCCCCCACAAAGTGCATAACCATATACAGATTCATTAATTCCAAATCTTATTATATATAATTGTAAACATTCCTTGACTCACCTATCTAAATATCTCAGAATTATGCTTGTTTTCCCCTGAAATGAATGTGACACTTATTTAACATTCATCTTAATAACGACAAATTCATCAGGTAATAAAGAATGCTGTTTACTTCTATATGATAGCTTTGGTGAAATATTCTTACTGTAGCAGACAGGGGGGACAGGGTTTGGGGGGAGGAGATAAAAACTAATACTCAAATATTTTAGCAAATATGGTTTCAAAGCATGATCAAATGAAATCAATACTTGATCTTACATCTTTATTAAGACAGACATCAATGTGTCTCATCTAGAAGTCATGTCTGGTACAGATAAAAACCTGGCTGTTTATGTGAGCAGTCCCTTATGATAGGTCCCAACACATATGGCTTATAATATGATCAATTCATAACTTCAAAACATTTCATGTAAGGTGAGCTTTAAAACCCCTTAAGCATGTACTGCTTAATATTCATAATCTCCACTCCCATTTTGGAAAAAAATAATCATTCCGTTCTGTGGAAAAATATAATTGTTATTAATATTACTGAGTTTTTGCTGCCTGTGATGAAGACTGCAGAGTCCTCTGATGCTTGATTTTCATCTGGAAACAACATAATATCATTTTTAAGGCACAAAGTGGTCTATTCATTATGATCAACTACACTGTAGAACAGAAAGATATAAAAGACATGATAAGGCATCTTGGAGACTTGTCATTTGTTAGGAAGGGTGGGGTGCAGTCTGGGTGTGTGTGTGTGTGTGTTGAGGGGGCGGGGGGTGGTGGTATGGGTGTTTATTGTTTAATGCCACATGCAGCAATATTCCAGCTATGTGACAGTGGTCTGTAAATAATTGAGTGATTGACATCATGAGCATTGATCAACGCAATTGGGATATGATGACATGACATGACAAGTCAGTGAGCCTGACCACCCGATCCTGTTAGTCGCCTTTTACGGCAAGCATGGGTTGCTGAAGACCTTTTCTACCCCGGATCTTCAATGGTACAGTCTAGCAGTGAACGATCCTCAACACATAGAGACACTGTGGATTGGTCTCCATCATAATTAGCTGACTCATTTTTTTCATGACCCCTTCCCTATAATAAATGACCAGTCCCTAAATAATGTTCAAAATTATAACTTTACATTTGAAAGAAAATAAATAAATAGAACTGTGTCATGGAAAGAGCATGCTACCAAAATCCTAATTTGGACAGATATTACATTCTCAACAGTATTAATATATAAAATCTACATGTTTCACCATAGATACTACACTTGATGCTCATGAGATCTTTCTTAATACAGATGGTAGTATAATCACAAGATTAATGCCAATGGAAATAATGCAGGTAGAACAGGGTAAAGCAGGTATGATTTTATATTACCTTTGTCAGCATTTGACTGGGTTATTGCGAGATCCCAGAGGCTGGAAAACATCAAAAATTGAAAACATTAAAAGGCAACATTTCAAATCCTGATAATCACCATGAGTTGTTGTTTAGCTTGTGAATTTTTTAAATATTGAAAATGTGCTATTGTATGCTTTATTTAGGAAACAAATATTGAAAACTATCAACTTCACAGAGGGGCCTACCTTTACAATTAAGCACCACAAAGTTTACAAACAAATCACGTTGACATAATTTGTGAAATTTTGATAACCATAAGAACAGAGTTGCTGGGTCATCGAGTGTGCATAAGCTCCTGTCAGTGATGTATCATCTCTACACGTAATGTCACTTAATAAGCCCAGTGCAGGAACCCTTAGCATCTTTAGAATTTAGCACCACAACTTCTTGTATGGACCCGATGTATGGGAGCAGGTCAAAACAGTGTCATATGTCAAATTGGCCTCAAAAGGTAAAGTGAAAATAGTTGTAGAAAAAAGTCAACACTTATCGTGCTTATTCAGACGTTGTTGATGGTCACACATAAATGTGCACAGTTCTTAATTCTCATGATTCTTACAGATACAGCACAAGTGATCACATATAGTTTTTGGGATCACAGATTATATCCGTGGTCCATGGTTGGAAACATGGATGTTCCCCCACCAGAATAAAAGTTTATTCGTCTTTTCACAAAAGATTGGTTGACTGGTCAGTAATGTCATTTGATGAGATTGGTAAAAACAACAAATGAACTCAACTAGAAGAGATGACATTGTAATAACAACCTCCAACACGAACTCTTCTACACAATCCTGCTCACAATGGGTCGCTATGACATTTTTCGAGCCCGTATAAGACTATGAGTATGTTGCCATTTTGACTTTGGATTGATGGCCGTCTTTGGCTTTTGAGTCTGTTCTGACACGAACATACTACTTCAACATGACAACAACCATGGCCCTGGCAAATGTTCTTCTCGTTCAACACGGTCTCCTAATAAACCTTTTCAAGACCTCAAAACCATACCTTGTAAGTTTCCTTCTCAAAATTTTAGGATGTAGATCAATCTAGCATTAAATTCCAGCGACAATGTCTGAATTTCACAAATGGCAGTCATCAATACGTCTCTTAAACTAACATGGGAAATTGTTATATTTATTGAATAATTAATTTTAACTCACGATTTTGACATCTTGATATTAAAGTCGCAATGCACGACAATTTAGACGTAGAAAGAAGCTTCACTAAGTCTCTTATTCAAGCGGGCACCTGTATTGTTGACATTCACAACCAAACCGGAACAATGGTTGGAATTTACGTACTGGGCCGAAGTGAAGGAAATTATATAGTTAATTGGTATAAATGAAATGGTTTTACGCCAGAAAATAGAATTTGTAAATATGTATACAGTGAATGCCTTTATATTGTTTGTAGTTGGTATAAGAACTATACAATAATTTTCTTAAAGGAAGATTTCATTTTTCTTTCACCATTCGCTGCAGCGCTGACGTCATATTCAACATGGCAACCTTCAAGGAGTATCTCGTTAACGAAGGCTATGCAAAATTTTCTGCAGCCAGGAAACAAGAAACTGAAGATTCTAAAACTGACCCAGAAGATGACCCATTTAGGTCCAGGTACAAGGCTAGAGAAACTTATGGTGAAATCAGAACCGCATTAAAAGGGTACATAAACGACGATGCTGAAGATGTGACGCTGACGCTTTTTCTAGCGGTTTTGGACTTTTACCTGGCAACAAATTTCATTGATACGGAAGAAATCGCAGCTGGAGAGGAGCATTTAATGAATGCACTAAAATTACTTGAAGATCAGAAGTATGACAGAGAAGTCACTAACATCTACCAAACGGTTCTCAATAATCTTTCAATAATGTGGTCAGAGAGAAGGAATTATGACAATTCAATGAAATATCTCAAACAAGCAGAATCTCTGTATAAGAAATTCAAGCGTGATGTTGGAAATGATCCCTATGCCATTGATGAATATTTCAAACCTGATGAGTCTGGTGAAAATGACATTGCAACTATTTCTAAAACAAGATCAAAACACTTTGAAAACACATATACTCTGACATTGTTCTACATAGCCCAAGTCTATGCATTAACTGAAAAGAAAGAGGACTCTGCCAAATATTGTCATGTAACACTTCAAAGACAATTGGACTCCTATACATACAAAGCTGATGAATGGGCTCTTAATGCAGCAACACTATCACAGTATTACATCACTGTGGAAATGTACCACTTTGCTCGTCACTGTTTGGCAAGTGCATCTTTGATATTTGAAGAGGCAGCATCAAAGGAAGAAGATACAGATGAAGATACTAAAGAGCAGATGGCACAAAAGAGAGCTGATATTGACAGATGTTGGGCCAAATATGGCCTTGCGCTTTTGGAAGCTTCTAAAGACTATTTAATGAAAGAGGTTGAAGATGCAAGGGATGGAGTTTCTTCTAATGATCACAATGCAGATGTTAAAGAAGGTGCCAGCAAATTCTCACTGTCAGATGGGGAAGCTGGTAGGTCTGAAGAAGAAAATAGTGACACATCTCCAGTGTTAGATATTGAGAACTGCAAAACATTTCCACGATTCAATCTGGAAGTAACAAATTATGAGGAGAAAATCACTGATCAGTTCGTCAGAGATTTCTCTGAAGCAAGAGAAGTATTCATGTCAGTCCAAACAAGATTGAATGATGCCAAAAAGTTTTATGTAGTGGATGGACACTGCTCTGACTACATCCAAATCATCCAGGATATCAGCAAGGCTTATAAGGAACTGGCATTCTTTGAAATGGACATGGAACGTCAGTGCAAAATGCACAAAAGGAGGGTTGACCTGTTGAAAGATACCTTGACAGATCTCAACCCGAAGTACTATCTTCTAGTCTGTCGGCAGCTTATGTATGAACTCGCAGAAACATACAGTACCATGGTGGACCTTAAGTTGGGGATAATGGAAGCAGAGGGCAGAGGTCCAAATCCACATTCCGTGAAAAAAATCAACACTCTAGCTCAACAGAGCATTGCACAATATAATACTTATTTGGATTCATTGAAGAGTGGGAAGCCTGACTTTCCAGATGAGTTTCATGAAAATGATGTGCGTCCAGCACTAGTGGCAATGTTCTGTTTGGGTAGACTCTATTCCAAGATTATTTCACCAGAGATTCCGCACAGGCTGGTGCTGATGAAGAAAAGTCGAGAGTGTTACCAGTTTGTTGAAACATATTGCAAGAGGCACCCAGAAATAGAGGGGAGGATGGTTAATGAACTGAATATAAGTAGGGAAATGGTTGTTCTCCTGCCTCTGAAGATGGAGAAAATCAGAATTGGGCAGCTCTAAGCAAATGCTAGGTGCAGCATTTTAATCATGAACATTTGTTACCCTCTGAATACATTGATGAGATAGCGTTGCATAGAACAAATTCTGTTATCATCATGATCATGATTTGACATTAGCAGATTAGCACATCATGAAATAAGATATTTGACAGTTTCTCATATGAACATGATGAAGAATGTTCTTATCAAGATAACCACTGCTTGCTGAACAAATGTTTAATATGTTGATGTGTGTCTGTGGTGTTTCTGTTCATGCCATTGGGTACTTGTTTTCACCTAGGGCTGCAACATAAGTTCATAAGCATGTATCTTGTTTGTACCTTGATGAATGCTTGTCAGCAACAAGACAAGTGCAATAGGCTAGTTCATTTCCCAACATCATGCATATGGGTAGAATTTATGAAGCCCAGACTGATACCTTACCATCACTGACCAGAGCTTACCATGCTTACCTTGGCTTCAAATTTCAATACGATGAAGTGAAACTAATCATGCTAATAGAACATGTATTAACTCTTATCATGCTCGTGTTATCCCGTGTTCTCAGCGTGGGGTGATCAGATAGCCTAGGGGTTAAAGCTTTTGCTCATCACGCTGAAGACCGGGGTTCAGTTCAAGACATAGGTACAATGTGTGAAGCCCATTTCTGGCGTTCCCCCGCCGTGATATTGCTGGAATATTGCTAAAAGTGGCGTAAAACCATACTCACATACTCTCCTCAGCGTCATTGTGGTCACACATTTGATGACATGGTGTGATGATGTAATCAGGGTAATGGAGGAAGGTGCTGCTGGTAGTGATCGTGGTGATAATATAATATATTTTTCAAGTTTCTACATCTTCTTGATCATTACATTCAAAGTGATGTTTAATGTGTTTAACTTTATACATGTTAACAGTTTTAATTGTGTTAACTGGACAAAATGGATTTCTTCCTGATCACTAAGGTGTCATCATGGTCATGATAAGGAAAATTAACATAATGAATATAAATAAGCTTCCTTGAACTTGAGCATAAACTTCCTTGAACATGAGCATAAGATTCCTTGAACTTGAGCATAAACTTCCTTGAACATGAGCATAAGATAACTTGAACATGTTGAATTACAAACGTCTGGAACAGTTGATGCATTCCTGACATGATGAACAGTTTCCATTCCATGTCCAAGAGGAGGGGGATGATGATGCGATGAATTTGTCTGGATGTATTGAATTTGACATGTCTTTGTCAGATGTAAATGATTAAAGCAGTCTTTAAACATGTTACAAGCAACAATTGGTTCAACAGCTGATCAATTTTTATTCATACCTTTTTTGGTCAATTTTACCTGTTATCATGGTTATCGACGTGTGCATGTGTGTTTTAGCCTTGTTTGCTTAAGCCTGTTAACATGGTTAAGTTTCACCCTGTACATACCTTGAATTGGGATAGCACTTTAAGTATGTTCTTGCCGTGTCACAGTCCTGTTCACTTGTAACCTTGTTACCATGGTTGCCACTTTTTACTGTAGGTTTAGGCTTCGTCATTGTCAGGGTGCTGTTTTTAACGTTTTAAATAATCTATGTTATCATGAACTTGTTCTTCATGTTTGTCATGGCATTGTTTTGACCTTTTTTCTAATCTCAAAACTCAACGATTTTCTGCTTCTTTCTAACTATTCTAAGGCCTTTCTAAATGTCTTTCATCAATTATTTGTCAGTCCCTTTTCAGCATGCTTAGTGCAGGCCATATTATTGCAGAAAAATAGTTTGTTTAAAAAAAACCGTAAGGGAAGTGTTGTCTAGGTTACGACATTGTTAGCATGGCTAGTGTTTAATACCATAAACATGATGAACTCACTCAGCTTACCCAATAATGATTCCTAGTACCTAGTAGTAGCTGGTGATATTGGTATATGCTGTCATGGATGTGTTCTTTTCTTGGGAAATTGTATCTGTAGAAATATTATACATGTTTCTGTTTGTGTGTAAAGCTGTGATAAACATTTATTTATCAATTACCTTGTACAGAAGAACTCAAGCTGTAAAATATCTATACTCGAACTGTTTTAGTTTGTTATATTTTTTCCGTCTTGGAATAATGTGTCTCAAATGTGCGCAGTGGTGAGGAAGGTGAGGTGAGGTGAAATTGGGTTTAACGTCGCGTCCAAGATTATTGCACTTATATAGCAACATGCATGCACGTGTGTGGGTGTGGCTGCTTGTACTAGTCCGGACTGATGCCGATTTATAGTGCAAGCTCATTGAGATACCATGCAGCAGTTTAACATGAATACCCCACTCAGACACAGTATACTGACTCCGAGCGGACCAGTCCTTGTTTTAGCCCCTTAATGCCAAGTGCCAGACAGGGTAACAACAAGTACCATCTTTTAACGTCTTTTGGTATGACGCGGCCGGGGATCGAACCCCGGACCTTCCGCTCTCCGGGCGGACGCTCTACCACTAGACCACCAAGGCGATCCGGTGAGGAAGGAGTTTGAATTGGTTACAATGATGATCAATTCAATTTGTCAACATCTGGATGTATATCGTCATTATGCTGGTGGTGAGCTGTTGGATTTAGACATGTTTGTATCGTTGCATGGCGCATCTTTCTTGAATTCTGAACGTGGCTGGAATTCTGGACATTCGTGACCAACTTGTGTTATTCCGTGACAAGCCGATTAGCGACTTGTGCCCCTCTCATGGTCATTTTTGCGACCGGGTTCCATCTTACCGTCTTAGAGCAAACGGGCATACCTAAAACAATTGTCAACTCGTTGCGTTATGGTTCACATATATTTCCCCATATATTTCCCCATATATTATACATATTTCAGATGCAATTTAAAGCACATCGGGATATGCAGAATTATACAGTATGATTGAAAACATTTAACTGTGTCATGGGTATATTTTTAGATGCAAGACATATGTAAAATCAAAAATTGTTTCTGAAGGATTCTTTGACGAAGAACTTGAAATCATACACGCATTCTGATTGGTTTGTCGTATTTTCACACATAACATTCATCGATAGGGGGATAACTCTTCTTGCACGTTACGGAAAGGGGCGAGTGGTGATGAATGGAATTCTGGAGTTACATTTTGGCTGGAATAACGAGTCTATGCAAAGTCTAATCGAAATTGCCCAATGAACTAGACATCCGGTTCGTAAACATGGATTTCAACTTGCAGGTTTCGATTGACTGCAGGATTTATAAAGCATGTGTACTGTCATCTGAAGGGACATAACTTGTAATAGCCACTGGTGGTGCATAGTTTGGCAAGGGTGGAAACTGGACTTTTACAGTCAGTTACCTCCCTTGCCTTGGGATGATGACCTGGCTTAAGCCAAATGTTGAATTGAGGATCTTGTTTTTAACATGTTTAAAGCTCCGATACTTACATATATATGACATGGTGTTAGCTAGTGTTACTCCTCCATAATAATAGTAGATTTCCCCTTCCTACAAACAGCATGGGGATTCCTGGGTGGAGTGAATCTCCAGCAACTATGCTTGTTGTAAGAGGCAACTTACAGCAAACTACATTTATAACAAACTGGCGGATATAACAAACTCTTTTTTGGTCATGACCATTTGCTGTATATATGCTTTTAATTAACTATGGTTATAACATGTATAACGACCTAAAAATAGTGGTCCCCTTGAGTTTGTTATAGACGTAGTTTACTGAATGTTAATGGATTGAGTGGTCAGACTCGGTGACTTGGTCGATGGCATGTCATACACTGACGGCATAGATCATTGCTCACAATATCAATCACTGGTCCAGTCTTGATTATTTACAGGTTGCCTTCATATAGCTGGAATATAGCTGAGTGAGGCGTTGAACAACAAATACGCACAGAGAGAGACACTCACTCTACAGGGAACTGGTGACTGATTTCATGCTGGTCATGGCAATCTGCAGTTTGTAATCCTCTGTTTTTGGAACTGATTTCATCGTGATCTGTAGTTTGTAACTATTTCGGGGTAACTGGTGAATAAATTGGTCTTTTTATTATCTCCTTGCTCCAGCACACCAGACATACTGGTCCACTGGGTGCTGGGTATTGACTGGGATCCAAACATGGGGAAAATAGGAGCAAACAGTTTGCAATGTGAACATTAATAAAAAGAAATCTCATAGTTTGTAAAAGGTTTATTTCTTAAATATCAATTTACATTGCCTCTCACACTTTGATTTTCCTCTGGTTTTAATGTACAAATCTCTTCACCACCAGCAGAAAGTTATGCTTGGAATCATGAATTGTGAGTATAACGATGAGAGTAAACACACAAAAATACAAACAAAATACTGCTCTGTAGTGATGGATATCAACAGAATCTGTTGTCTAGAAAATATATAAATTCTCTTCTATATGTTAACCCTTTAACCTACAGAAATCTGTGCCCGACTAATGCAACAAAATAGTTAAAATAACCTGAAAAATGTCTGCTAAACCAGACATAATCTCAGTAACAAAGGGTTAACTTAACACAACTGTCAACAATGTTATAATCTGTTTAACAGTTAATTAAAAGTCAACGGCACAACCTGGCATATAACACATGGCACAGCACTGCGTTCACAACCATCAGAGTCACAGGAACACTTAAATAGACTAAAGGACAAGAGATACATCCTTTATTAAACTAATACATTTAATAACTTTACCCAATGCCACTTTTCAAAATATAATCTGCATTCTAATCTTTTATATGGTGCCTTTCCTGAATTAAACTTCCCCAAAATTTTACAATTATCCATTGACAAAGGAAAGTTAATCCCTGGCTGCCATATTAATACAAGCTTTACATATAACACAATTACAGAATGTACAAAGATGTGACAAACATAATCATACTTTCGTCCGAGACTGACAGAACATAACCTATGTTCAAGGTTATAAAATACCAAACCCTCTTTCCTTGATGTACTGGACACAGTGTCAGGTATAGTATTCATGGGAGTTATTGCATAGATGAATCTATCACATTCCCAGTTGCCTTGGTAACAGCATCACATTTCTGCATCCTGTCTATGAACAGGAATTCATAGCTGTACATAAAATAACAATTTTCACAACCGGTTTTTTTCACAGGTCAAAAATTGATTTATATGTTCAGCTTCGCATTCCTCAGCTTGACATAAATACTGAATATTGCTTATGAAAACACAGTAGTTTAACTGAACGTGAACATGGTGAATGGAGTAACATGTGGTTGTTACAAGTAACAATTTATCAAATGCAGCACGAACGCAGTGGTTGGTTTGTCTAACATGCTGATTTGTTTGTGGTACAAAGTTAGAAATGTGCTACACCTTTTTACTGCTGGCAGTGTTTTTAGCAATCTCATTAAAATCAGATTTTAGTTCTCGCTACCGCTAAACAAAGATCTGAGGACATCCCATTACGGGTCACGTCAGAACGACCTTTCTTCCGACCAATCAGAGCATCGCCTACCAGATTATGAAAGTGACAGTCGGAATGTGATCTCTGATCATGCAGCCTCGAAAACTTTAACTCCGAACGATAGTTACGGGTTTAACGACTGTATCAATACAATCTAGACCATCTATTAGCCATTCCAGAATGTTCTTTTGTTCAGGTTTCAAATTTGGTAATCGAGAATTCGCCAAAATATGTTTTGAACCGTAGTCACCAATTTGAAATTAGTGCCGTAAAGCACGAGAAAGCTGCCTTCTGATTGGTCATTCCATTGGTCAGTCAAAGTTCGCGCAAGGTCGGTCTGACGTGACCTGTAATGGGATGTCCTCAGATCTTTGTTTAGCAGTAGCGAGAACTAAGATCTGATATTAATGAGATTGTGTTTTTAGACACAAGAATGCGGACAGACAATCAAGATATCTCACTGTTGACAACACTCCAGATCAGTGTTTGAAATAAAATAATAACTGTGTGGTTGTCATTGGGACCCACAGACTTCAGAAGGTGCAGGCCCCGTCTAAACTCTTCAGGCCCTCATTTAAAAAAACTGCAGCCTACTGTGACAAATAAATTGACCTGTAAATTTACTGCAGGCCATAAGGACTCCTACAACTTTGAAACGACGGCCCGACATGGGATCTACCTGCCTGTGTATATTTCGAACACTGCTCCAGATGTTAAAGCTACCACGTGTTAAAGTTATCCTGGCAGGTGCTTGCTGATCAGGGCTCTACCACACCACAAAGGTATCACTGTACACAATCAATACCAACCAACATGAAGATTATAGTGGTTGTATATGAAACACAACACACATTTTTTTAAATCAAAGGATTTCCTTGAGGGTTTCTGCTCTAGTGTTAGGAATCCAAAATCTTTGACAGCATCTGTATCAACATCTACATCAGCAAAGGACAGCACTTCATAATGGTATATCTTTTCATATACCCACAAGTCCTGTATGCAGTCCCATCTTAATGACAGCTTTCTTTCATCTCTCACAACGCAGATGTGGTTGCAGGATTATTTAAAGAAGGAAACAAAGTTAAATTAAAGATTAAAGAAGGGTAATCAGAATGGACCTGTAAATTTGTATTAATAGTACGAGTTATTTTAGCTTTATGAAGCCCATTTGTGATTTTCAAACTGTACCTAAACAACAAAGAGAAGGTCTCCATTTCACTCAGAACACACAAAACGGCAGCAGCTTAGGGAGAGATGACCATGATTGCGTAGATCCATAAAATGATGATGATAGTCGGTCATACCAACATGTGTAGTCAATGGAAAGACATGAAAGTTTAGCATGTCTTCTTGGGTGAATACATTTGAAAACTGATAATTGCCTTTCAACTTCATGACCATGCAGAAAACAAATCTTACAATGTACGGTAAATAAGTTTGACTTAAAAAAAAATATGATTAGATACATAATTAATAGTAAGTATATCGTCACCATATATTTCCTTACGGATGTCGGCTAGTCTGTATTAAGAGTATTAATCTTTTTCTAAGACAGGCGATTCTAAAATCTAGATGACGTAATCTAACTTATCCACTGAAAGGTGAAGGTTTGCGTGTATTCTATTGAGCGAGATGCACTTTAATGACAATGCAATATACTTTAGTATAAAAGGGGCCTATATGGTAATCACTCATACTTTACAGTTCTGCATAAAAGCCAATTTACTGGTATCTGACTGATGTTTTAATAATATCAACAAAAATGTTCACCTGTTAGAAAACATGTTAATGTGCTTCTTTAGCAAAATAGTTATAAAATGTGTGATTTATGTATTTCTTCGATTTCTAACGTGCAGCAACATTCCAACAAACACGAAAATGAGGTTACGTTGCACTGACATCACTGTTCAAAGAATGCTGCAACACTACTTTCATGAACTTTTGCCAGAAGCAGTATGCGACCTGTTATAAAATGGGAATTATTTCACATTTTGTTTGATACATTTGCGGATTGGGGTCATAGTCTAAATGTTTAGTGCAGAGAACAGTTCTTACCAGCAGACATCCCTAATATATGAGAAATGTATATGATAATACGTGGTTCAAAGTGCCTGTTATTCAGCGGAAAATAACAGCAACAACTTGTTTGGACGGACATTACTCAAATGGTTGTTAAAACCAAACGGAGAGAACTTCAATAATGAAGTGTTTGAAGTAGTTGTGTAGGTAAATTGACTTGGTACTTAAGATTGTATCATCTGCAAATGGTGTGTCATGACTGTTTTCATTTGGAAAAACCATGTTTATCAAACATAGAGGGAGTCCTTGCAATTGTGAGGGATTTGATTTAGCACTGCTTTGAACAGTTATCCAGTTATATCATGGTGTGTCAGCTTGATATAGGAGGAAAGCCTGGAGTGAGGCAGACGTCTACCACTTTGGTGAAACCCACGAGCACGGGTATGGTGCTGACAAACCTAGAAACATAATTGGTGAGAAACAGGATTGGAACCCACATCCTTGGACCTGAAACAACTCAAGCTGCATCACTAAAGCTGCTACAATACACATGGGATGGTATGACATACATCTCGCAAGTAAGGTTGCTATGGGATACAATGCAATTTAACCATCTTGGGAGAATTATACTAACAGTGGCTGGAAAACTCCTGTCAGAAAATATAACATTGATACAATGTCACAATCTCTTAATACAATCAGGGAAATTGGGAAAATATCTTTTTGGTTTACAACTGATATTTAAAAACAAATTCCTTTCTTCTAAATTCAGAGTATTTTAACTTTGCATTCAATGCAATAATGTCCTCTTCTACTGACATTTGCTGCTGACTTGATGCAGCAGATTGGCCTCTAAGCAGGTCTGAAATAAACTTTACAATACTTAAAACTAGGCCTGGGATGATACTCCAACTGTGTGTCCGACATGTATAACGATACCTTGCTCACGAACCGATACCTATCACAATACTTGCATGTCCTCTTATCTGTGATGAGTAAGCCATCTTTTTCATAGACAGGATGGCCAAATACCTGTCACGCTGACAATTTAAAGTTGGCAGTGTCAAGTATAGCACAAAAGATGAAAATATTTATGTTTTGACTACTAATTTTCACTACTATTTAGTGTTTGGTGTAACAGTTCTTAACCCAAACATTTATGGTAAGAATCAATTTCTTACTAAGCGTGAGACCGTGATAAATACTTGTATCGGGAAGTAAGAATCGCGATCCACCAATGCATCAGTGTATCGTCCCACCACTAACTTACAGTCATACAGTGATGCACAGACATCCCAAATACATCCCACGAAGCCATTCCCTGTTTGACATAAGACTATGTAAAGAAGAATAAGGAAGCATAAGTTAGACTATTTACACTGACTATACAGAGAGTATTTCACTTGGATGGAAAACAGATTCTGAGACCAGTTTAACACAACATTTTACAACATGACCAGAAGTAGTACACTGTCTATTTTCAGGTTTCTATAGCAACTTGTTACCCTCTCTGTTCGGCAACTATGATAATCTATTTTACATAATTTACATGAAAAAGGAATCCCTTTAATCATTTCCAAGAAGCAGGGAGTTATTTCCCTCTGATCAACATGTTACAGTTATGGACAGGAAGTTCCTAAGGAATTTTTGGATTTTAAAAGGATAATAATCCTGGCAGTCTTTGAGCAGAAGAGATTGGACCTACACATATCGGGAAGAGCAGAGTTCGCCAGTCAATAAAAAGCTTACATGACTGGATCCTCAAGCTAGTGGTTAAGTATCCAGACTGCAAGGTCAAGGTTGCATGAGATCAACTGGACTGTTTTATTTGGACAGTAAGGGGAGACAACCTATTTCTTATGATTTCAAGAAAGTATCAGCCTGTTTTAGTCATACATAAATGTATTGGACTGTAATAGATGAAAATATCTAGTCAAAACACTTCACAAATATAAGCCAAGAGACATGGAAAATATAAATGATATTGGTACATAAATCTAATATTGAAGAAATACGAACTAGGAATATATGTCTATGGAGGAAGTATATTATGAGGCAATTCCAATGAGGTTATAAAGAGTTAATGTACAAGTAACACGTGCCATGGCAGCAGACAGGCAATATAAACATGGCCTTGACCTGCACAGCCGACAACTATACACAGTTTGAACATCGCAGCTCGTCTGTCAAAAATCCTGTACAAAATGTTGCACCAAGTAAAACTCATCTCATTGGACGAATGTAGTATATCCCCCTTATGGGTAGTGCTTAGGTTCATGCCTGGGTAACAATCCCCACAAAATAGTTCCCCTTCCTCCCTGGGAAGGGCAGTGTGACTGGAGAAGATGTCGGACTGGAGTCTGGAAGAGCACAATGACTTTCAGTTCTGTTGGCTGCTGGGAACATGCCACAATGACTTTCATTTTCATTTTCCGAGAAAATATGGTTTCTGCAATGGCTGGTTGCTTGCACATATGTGTTTCTGTTACTTCAGCATCACATGGTTTGTGGGACAACAGGTTCTTTGATATCAATTCTAATTCCACTTCAGTAAGACATGGTATCTGCAATGGCTGGTTCATTGATACAGATTCTGATATCACTTCAGCATCACATGGTTTGTGTGGATGAGATTCTGGTGGTGTGGAAATGGTTGAACAACCAGTTCAACAACCCAGGGTTTCAATGGATGCGATTCCATGTGCTAGTGGTGTGGAAATGGTTAAACTATTACTTCAGTTGAACAACCCAGGGTTTCAATGGACGCGATTCCATGTGCTAGTGGTGTGGAAATGGTTGAACTATTACTTCAGTTGAACAACCCAGGGTTTCAATGGATGCGATTCCATGTGCTAGTTGTGTGGAAATGGTTGAACTATTACTTCAGTTGAACACCCTGTGTTTCAATGGATGCGATTCCATGTGCTAGTGGTGTGGAAATGGTTGAACTATTCCTTCAGTTCAACAACCCTGGGTCTCAATGAATGTGGTTTTGCTGTTTGTCATCTGGATTGGTGTTCCACTATCACTTCAGCATGGTTTCATCAGTTTCAGCGACACATGGTTTCCGTAATGGCTGTAGTGGCCATCAAACAGTCACATAATATCCCATCCAGACATCAACGACAGAATTTACACACACACAAGATGGTACTGATACACCAACAGCAAAGAATGAATGACACTCCACTAGCAACACACTCGTAGCAAGTAGCACAAGGACATCTGGATTCAGGAAAAATGAAGTCAGTTTTCTTGTGACCTGTCATAAAGTCTGAAATCAGTTGTATATTTATTTCGATGGCAGCACAACTCAGCAGCTGGAACAGTGACAAAAATCACAGTAACTGGCACAGAACTAGCGATGTCTGTCTTGTTTCCACTGTGTCCCACACACCCTGTAGACAACTGTTAATTAAGCTGTAATCTCTGCATTAGCTGTTTGAAATATGAAATGTCAAAACCAGATAATGAAAGATTTATGTGTGGTTGTTACATACTAAGCCCAAATTTACTTTTCTTCGCTGTCATTTCGGAAGAAATCATATATCTTTGGTTGGAATGTCTCTTTAAAAAATGTGTACTTTTTATGTTTGAAACTTCCAGAATGGTCCAGTTGCAATCCAAAAGCCATTACACACAGCAGTAACTCTCCAGCATAAGAATGTTTGTGTCTTTAAGCAGTTTATGCCATTATCAGAAAGCACAAAACTTCCTCTTCCTTTTTAGCAGTTATCTCCCTTTTCTAGGGGAGATAATTTCAGCAGTCGTCTTCATTCTGTAGGTGATTCAACTCCCTGCAGAGCTGCTGGAACTCCAGTTGGATCCAGTCACACTGACGTGCTAGTCATTGGCGGTCGATGGTGTTGAAGAACCACTCTGTGAAGCGGCGTAGTTGTGCCGCTGCTGTCTGAGACTCCTCCTGGAGACGGACATTGTCGGATCTCAGCTGCTGGACCTCGGTCTCTAGAGCAGACTTCTCTCGTCTCTCCTGGAACCAGACACAAGACATGGTGATCATTGTTACCTCAACACTGTTACCACGAAAAACAATTCTTCGCACTGGCCCAGATATGGATAACATATAAGAAAAGTACTGTATCTAGACATTTCCCTTCACATGAACAATGTGCCTTTAACAAAGGGCAGACAGAAAGTTTTCTTTAAAATAATATTTCTGATTGCATGGTATTCAGTAATTAGTGAGTGAATAAGTTGGGTTCAAAACCGATTTGAACATTATTTCAGCTTATTATGGCTTCATTTGGAAACAAATCCCGAAGTGGCCGAGGTCGGAGATGTTAACGTTCAAGTGGTATTATGCTGACAAACCTAATACCTTATTATTTGAATCTGGAATTCAAAGCCATGATAATCTAACGCTGAATTCTTTGATAGGCATTTAGAAGTTGGAAGAACATAAGTAAATGAAACTATTACGGATAACATCTCTCTTTCAATGAAGTTGTAGCTCACCTTATCCAGGTCCTGCTGCAGCTGGACTACCTTCATCTCGAGCTCCTCAACCACTTGCTGTGGACTCAGACCAGCTGACCGCCAGCTGGACATGTTGCTGAAACATGTCAGATATAGACATGACATGACATGACATGATAACACCTGTACCTACAAGTGTACAGTTCCATATATATAGTTAACATAAATATATATTTATCATATATAGTCAAACACTGTTGTGTTGAACTTCGATGTGTCAAACTTAGGGTTGTCTTGAAGTAAAAGCATGGTCTCTGTGTATTCCTTCTTTATTCATCACTTTAGGTTGTGTCAAACCTCAGATAACTTGAAGTATTAACATAGGTCCCTTCAGCTGTGTCTATCCTCTCTTGCCTACTTACAGTTAAGCACCATCTGATAGCATGCATTGTGTCCTGTGCGGTCCTGTGTGTGCGTGTGTGAGCATGCGTGTGCGTGCTTGCTGTACTACTGACCTTGACGTGGCCCCTAGTGCACTGTCCTGTGGGGTGCATGCGGATGTGCGTGCTTGCAGTACTACTGACCTTGACGTGGCCCCTAGTGCACTGTCCAGTGGTGTGCGTGCGTGTGTGCGTGGGTGCAGTACTACTGACCTTGACGTGGCTCCTAGTGCACTGTCCTGGTGTGTGCATGCGTGCGTGCGTGCTTGCAGTACTACTGACCTTGACGTGGCCCCTAGTGCACTGTCCAGTGGTGTGCGTGCGTGTGTGCTTGGGTGCAGTACTACTGACCTTGACGTGGCTCCTAGTGCACTGTCCTGGTGTGTGCATGCGTGCGTGCGTGCTTGCAGTACTACTGACCTTGACGTGGCCCCTAGTGCACTGTCCTGTGGTGTGCATGCGTGCGTGTGCGTGCGTGCAGTACTACTGACCTTGACGTGGCCCCTAGTGCACTGTCCTGTGGTGTGCATGCGTGCGTGTGCGTGCAGTACTACTGACCTTGACGTGGCCCCTAGTGCACTGTCCTGTGGTGTGCATGCGTGCGTGTGCGTGTGCGTGCGTGCAGTACTACTGACCTTGACGTGGCCCCTAGTGCACTGTCCTGTGGGGTGCATGCGTGTGTGCGTGCGTGTGCGTGCGTGCAGTACTACTGACCCTGACGTGGCCCCTAGTGCACTGTCCTGTGGTGTGCATGCGTGCGTGTGCGTGCAGTACTACTGACCCTGACGTGGCCCCTAGTGCACTGTCCTGTGGTGTGCATGCGTGCATGTGCGTGCGTGCTTGCGTGCGTGCAGTACTACTGACCTTGACGTGGCCCCTAGTGCACTGTCCTGTGGGGTGCATGCGTGTGTGCGTGCGTGCGTGGGTGCAGTACTACTGACCTTGACGTGGCCCCTAGTGCACTGTCCTGTGGTGTGCATGCGTGCGTGTGCGTGCAGTACTACTGACCCTGACGTGGCCCCTAGTGCACTGTCCTGTGGTGAGCATGCGTGTGCGTGCGTGCAGTACTACTGACCCTGACGTGGCCCCTAGTGCACTGTCCTGTGGTGAGCATGCGTGTGCGTGCGTGCAGTACTACTGACCCTGACGTGGCCCCTAGTGCACTGTCCTGTGGTGAGCATGCGTGCGTGTGCGTGCAGTACTACTGACCTTGACGTGGCCCCTAGTGCACTGTCCTGTGGTGAGCATGCGTGTGCGTGCGTGCAGTACTACTGACCCTGACGTGGCCCCTAGTGCACTGTCCTGTGGTGTGCATGCGTGCGTGTGCGTGCAGTACTACTGACCCTGACGTGGCCCCTAGTGCACTGTCCTGTGGTGTGCATGCGTGCGTGTGCGTGCAGTACTACTGACCCTGACGTGGCCCCTAGTGCACTGTCCTGTGGTGTGCATGCGTGCGTGTGCGTGTGCGTGTGCGTGCGTGCTTGCAGTACTACTGACCTTGACGTGGCCCCTAGTGCACTGTCCTGTGGGGTGCATGCGTGTGTGCGTGCGTGCGTGGGTGCAGTACTACTGACCTTGACGTGGCCCCTAGTGCACTGTCCTGTGGGGTGCATGCGTGTGTGCGTGCGTGCGTGGGTGCAGTACTACTGACCTTGACGTGGCCCCTAGTGCACTGTCCTGTGGTGTGCATGCGTGCGTGTGCGTGCAGTACTACTGACCCTGACGTGGCCCCTAGTGCACTGTCCTGTGGGGTGCATGCGTGTGTGCGTGCGTGCGTGCGTGCGTGGGCGCAGTACTACTGACCTTGACGTGGCCCCTAGTGCACTGTCCTGTGGGGTTGGGGGACGGGGTGGAGGAACATCCTCTGACAATTCCCTGGACGCCCGAGATCGTGGCTCATTCTGTATGTCCATACCATTTCCATCTGGCAAGTCACCTGAAACAACAAACAGCTGAAGGAGATTGCCCTTCTAAACCACAGCCTCATTACTAAGCCCATCTCAAGTTGCTGCAGAATGATATACATGGTGAGCATCTCCACTCCATATTGCTTCCAAGTATGAGGAAAGTACAACAATGAACTTTAGCCTGAAATACGTCCTCATCATGAGGTCAATATTCACATATCCTGATATGTACTGTTGTTTTCTGTGGATAAACACAAACACACAGGTGACACTCTCTACATGTCAAACCCGGGGCAACAATGAAGTTCTCTGTTCAAAAACGTGTTATATACAAATTCATCAAAAGCATAAAAAGACATGATAAATCACAACAAAATCAAAGACAAATTTAGTCAATTTAGTTAGTATGTTATCATCTATAATTATTTCACACAAACACCATAAAATTAAGATGCTGTTGGAGAAGATAAACAAAGCTTACATCCTCAGCTGATTGATAAAGACAGACACATCTATCATCCATCCCCTGTGAGTTGCTTTTCATATTACACCATTAACCTGCCGAACTGCACCTTTATCCACAGCCTTCTATACATCATGTTTGCATGGGAAGTGGTCATGCATGAATTCTTCCTTTCCTTATCAATGCATGGAATGCATGATGTCATGTAGCTGCCTCACAATAACACAACATAACATGAACATCCTCATTATAACAACTATAGTAATCAACCCAACTAAATATTTAGACAACACATTCATTTTGTGAAAACATGATAACTTCATAACTGGTTTAAAAGAATCTGTACCAAAGTTGCCTTATATTGAGGTAGCTATTCAAACAAGCAGGTGATAATTTGTAAGATGGCTTACCACTGACAATTATATCTAAGTGGATTTCTCAAAAACGTTCTGACAACAAGAATGATCTTTCGAATGTCTGTAGTCTTATCGTACTTCAGTATACACGCATGAGAGCTGACAGTTCAGTTTGAATGTACACAGATCATTGAGCAAGGCAAGAATTGTGTGAAGAGGGTTTGGGAACTATGGATCGACCAACCAGCATCATACATCAAGTGAGTGAGTGAGTGAGTTAATGCTTTACGTCACATCAGCAATATTTCAGTCATATCGTGACGATCATACATAAAGAGTTACTGAGTATGGTTTTATGCTGCTTTTAGCATTATTCCAGCAACAGTACCCAGGGACACCAAAAACGGGCTTCACACATTGCACCCATTTTGGGAATCGAACCCAGGACTGCAAACCCGTTAACGGCAAGACTACCCCACCGCCCCCTCCATCAAGAAGCAGTGTGCTATGAAACCTTCTGCAAGCACGTCAGTGTTAACACTTCCCATGTTTTATATATGTCACGTGATATATCAGTACTATTTATTGGATGTTTCTGATTTTCCAACCATTCTGGCTTGTTGTGTTGGGACACTGGGCCTATTGTCTGGCTCATGTGGTAAGTATGGCCAGATAAAAGGCTAGTTTTCAGTTAGGTAGCCTGTCTTCTTCATCCCTTATCTTTATCTGTGGGGATTCCAGGCACCGATATGTCCCCCTTTTTCTGAGAGAGTCTAGCATGTTAGACAGACAGACAGACAGATGTAAGTGAGCCACTGTCAGCAGTATTCCCACCATCATCGTGGCCTTCCAAATAATCCAGACAAATCAGTGATTGATAACGAGAGCAACGATCAAAGCTATAAGGGTACGATGACACAAACCAGCAGGGTCACACACTGTAACAACCAGACTGTTGCCAGATCTCATGACCAGGATTATCATACTGAGACCTATTTTGACCTGAAATCCCCACCAGACCCTGTCTTCAATTTGTTAGACTAACATATCGTATATAATATCTTTTATTACGCCATACGTTTCTCTCCTCGAATTTCTTGTAAAATAGAGCTAGCTAGACATTTCTTATAAATCTAGATTCGGTATCATAAAATAAGTATGTCCCGCAGTCATGGTGTAGACTATGAGTGAATGACTGAGTTGGGTTTAACGCCACTTTTAACAGTATTCCAGTTATATCACGGCGTGTCGGCTTAATGTGGGAGGATGACGTTTACCACTTCAGTGAAACCCACGAGCACGGGTATGGTGCTGACAAACCTAGAAACATAATCGGGGCGAACCGGGATTCGAACCCACAATCATAGGTTTCTGGTGCCCAAGGGAAGCAACTCTGCACAGCGAATCGTGGCGCCTTAGACGACTGGGCCACCCATGCCCCCTGTAGACTATGAATCTGTGACACCAATTCATTTTGGTTCAGTGCTTTAAGAAACTTTAGCTTTTATGTTGTACGTGTGCTCACATTCAATGGCCTTGGTAGCTACATCAACCAGATTCGACCAGTCAAGTCCAGCTGTTGACTCAGGCAGGGGGACCTTGTGACCTCGTACTTCTCCTGCAGTTCGACTTCGTGGGCGTATGGAAGCAGACTTTGAGGTTAGCAGAGCTCTGGGCGACAGTCTGCGGAGACAACAATTACCAACATTATGAAGATTCATTTATGCTAAAACAAGACATTTTATCAAGAATGGTTTCAGAGTATGTGTAAGAATATTGTAAGAAACAAAATCTTAATATTTAAATGAACAATAAATTCCTTTTTGACTCTAGATGCCAAGATTCCTGTCAATCTCAAACATCATTATTACCACATCTCATATCTTCATATTTCATTCATCATATCTCATCTCTAACAGTAACATTAATGTCTTGTCTCATATATATCATGTCATCAATTATTACATATCATAATGTCATATCACCCTATCTGAACCTAGTAATATCGTCTTACATATGACCCCCCCCCCCGCTCGTCAGTAATACCATCTCATATCATCACATCTGAACCTAGTAATATCATCCCTTCGTCCGTCACATCGCCCAATCTGAACCTAGCTTCTGCCCACCTCTGTTCCTTGGTGAGCTCATCCTGCTGAGTGGTTGCCACATGTGCTGGCATTGCTGTGGTGAAGATGACGTCACTGCCAATGTGGTTTACATCTCTAGCACTGATAGTACCCTTGGTGCTGTGAAGGCTCTCATCAGACATCGTTCGCTGGATCCGCTTGGTACGGCGCTGACTTGGACCCTTGGACTGAAACACAGAAACACAGGTAATATTCATTAAAGAAGTACAAGATGTCTTCAAATTTCGGTACACATGCATTGTGCCAGACGCCTTTCCGCCATGTTTGTTTGATGCTACTTTAAAGCCGCATGCAACACAAGCATCACTATTTGAAAAATTGGGTGATAAAGTTCAAAATAAGCAGAAAAAATGACCCCACTTGCATTTGTATGGTTTAAACCTTGAAATTGAAAGCGATGCATAAACAGAGAAACTGAACATCAACATAAGGAAAGTACTTGAAAATAGAAGTTCCATAATGGTGTGCGACAGCCTGATCAGTGACATCCATCGGAGCCACATTTCAGCAAACACGTTGTATTTTGTAGCTACTTTGGTAATAAAACATTAAATTTACTTGCAAAAGCATTTAATTCAAGCTGTTGATAGAGCAGCAAGCCCCCCAAACCCTGTTATTTTAGCAAGGCAACATAAATGGCGTCTGAAAATTAAGAAAATTATACTAAGGAATGAGCTCATGCACATCCCTTATCAAAATGGCGGAAGGTGTCCGGTATACTGCATTCTTGACAAAATTTCTATCAAAACCAGTATCTGCAGCAAAAGATCTTTCAATTTTTCAGAATTTCAATGTACAGCCACACAGCCAGTTGAATAGTTTCAGTCATTCGCAGTGTTACTCTGCATGATGCATTTGCTGTCTCCCAACTACGTATGACATACAGGGTTGTGCACTAAAATTCAGAACAATTCTTCAGGTCTGGGAAGTTGAACTTACTGTGTACGTAGCAAGATCCTTCTCCGAGATGTCCGGGTCAATGAGCCGCATCAGCTCCTCCTGAAAGTTACTAGGTGTGGTCCGGGCTGACCGCAGGTGGTTCATGACGCCGGGGCGGAGCCGGGTTGCCAGGGACTCCTCGGAAGACATGCCCGACAAATTTCTGAAATATCAACAGAGAATGTCAATACATGTCAACAATATAATAGAACCAGGAATATTCCTGAAATATCTGCAGAGAATGTGAAAACGTAAGAACAGAACTAGGACAGTAGACAAGAACCTTGCATAAGATGATTTGAATAAAGTGAGTGAGTGAGTGAGTAAGGTTTTACACCGCTTTTAGCAATATTCCAGCAATATCAAGGCGGGGGACACCAGAAATGGGCTTCACACGATGTACCCATGTCGGGAATTGAACCCGGGTCTTCAGCGTGATGAGCGAACGCTTTAACCACTAGGCTACCCGACCACCCCTGATTTGAATAAAGCAGGTTCATTATAGATCTGGACAAAGAGGGGCATATGTGTATAACTGAATTAACTGCTGGGACTTAACCCTAAACTGATTGCCACTGATGTCGTAAGTTGCCTGATTTCATATTTGAAAAGCCTACAGAGGATCCAACTGAAAATTGACTAGAAGAATCCCTGATACAGTCCTCCCAGCACTACAGCAAACAGATACAGACATTAACAATATTCTCAAACATATTGGAATAACTTCACTGTCATGATGCATACATATAGATGTTTCCCAACCAATGGTTCAAACCAGAATCAACTGTCTCCATTCTATATACAGCCATAGTAGTTCAAGTAATGTTTCAGGTATGACGTTTATATAAAGTTTAGAAGATGAAGTTGCACACATACTTGTTGGAGGAGCGGGGGCTGCTGTTGTTGCTGCTGAGAGGGGACACGTCCAACTGGTTCTTCTTGTGTTGGGAGAACTTGCCGCCTTTACTGTGGGCTTGGAGGGAGTCCTTCCGCTTTGGCACTATTGGCTCATCTGATACAGAAGCATGGAAGATACAGTTGCCGTAGTAACATATCATGGTTCTTGTCCACACAAAACCAGGCTGATTTGCCGGTGATGTGGTGAAGGGAGGTGAACTGGGGTGTAACGATGTGTTCAAGACCATTGCATTTGTATAGATGTGTGTGTGGCTGCTTGTACTTGTCTGGACTAATGCTGGTCTAATAGTGAGAAACATGCCACAGTTTAAATGGATACCCCACTCAGACACATCATACTGACTCGGAAGTGGCCCTGATTCTGGGAAACAACAAATACCTTCTTTTACCGTCTTTTGGTATGACATGACCAGGGGATTGAACCACCAACCTTCTGCTCTGAGCAAACACTTTATCCACTAGGCTACTGAAGCAGGAACATGATGCTAAGCAATATGCGTTGAGTCAACCACTAACAGCACATACATAAAATCTCCGATTATTGGCCATAAACACTTATTCAATATGGCAGCCATGGCAGCAATAATGAAAATGGGAACTGAACGAGATGTAAACAAATTCAGGTGTCATCATTGGTTGGGACAAGCATATGAAATTTCAGCTTTAATGGTTCAGCAGTTTCTGAGGAGAAGTTTACAGACGAAGCTAAAGACCCCTAATGTTAGATAAAGCAGGCCAGACATTCAGTCAGGTGTGCTTAAAATTTGATGAGCTTAAAATTTAAACATCTAAAAAGTCATTAATTTACACAACTCACCCTTATTGAGATTGTTGAGCCTGTTGTCACTCTGACTCTTGTGACCTGCATGAATCTGTGATGATCCACTCGAGTAGGACGACCCCTCGCTGATTTGACTTAAGTTTGTTGCCGAGTTGGTCGGCAGCTGATCCTGTTGCTGATTGGCCAATGCTAGTTCGTTGCCCTGACGTAGGAGGTACTTGGTATTCTGCGTCTGTTTCAGTAACTCCAGTGCAATGTTGCCAGTGAGAGGCAGGCCGGTGTAGGAGTAGTCCATCTGGTGGTAGTTGCGGCGTTGGGTACCGTAATTGGAGGTGCCTGACGTCTGACTGTAGATACTCTCTGTGCTCGTAAGGTAGGAATTCTGGGACACTGCCTCCATCCCCGATGAAGTCTCTCCTCTCCTTCCAACCTACATGAATCAGATGCCATTAATATCTGGAATACTGTTTCACTAAACCATGGTGCCAGTCATTTGGGTGTTTTCCTGTGTGGAACTGGTCTGATACTTACCGTATTCGACGTAATAAGCGCCTAGGGCACTCTCAAAATTAGAAATAGGGGGCTCTTATTAGAATATTATTTTGGTGAAAAAGCAGAGTTGAAAGATAAATTTCCTGGTTTATGCTGACAGCCTGAAATGTTTATATACGACAGATATATTTTTCCAGAATTTAATGGCCCATAATTGAGGGTGCTTATTACACACGAGTGCGTATTAAACACAAATAAATAGGTCTTGTGTACATGGATCAATCGGAAAGGGTGCTGATTGGGATTGTTCACTAACCAATATATCGCCGTGGGAGCTTATTAGAGCCGGGCGCTTATTACGTCGAATACGGTACATATGAATCATATTTATTTCTTACAGGTACAGAAGTGTTCTCATTGCTGAAGATATCTTCCACAACATCTTCAATTAATACTTTGTACTGTTTAAGATCTGAAACTGGGAATTCCATCAATTTAGATTTAGAGTCATAAGCATCCATTACATCTTGTAATGTTTTGTTACATTTGCATAAAATGGACCAAAACACATTTAGTAAACAACAATGGCCTCCTGTGTGCACAGTTGTGCCACTGACCTGAGCGGCCGATTGACCCTGGATGCTGCCGCGGTGATTCCACTGTTTATTGCCACTTCCTGTAAGAAAAGAGCATCATGAGCACTTTATGAATACACAATGCCATTTAGAAAGTTGTGAAAAGTAACAAATGTCATATTTGGGATAACACTTTCTTAGTAAAGTACAGATTCTAGAACTTTTGGAGGTTGAATCCCAGCCTGGATTCAACCCACACTCCCAGAGTGAGGCACCTAATCACTACCAACAAGGTCACCGATCTAACCCACTCAGCCACCGAGGATTCCACAAAATGAAACTCTGACAACTGGCAATCTAGATCACATACTTTGTGTACCCCTCTGACAAGTGTAAATTGGCACGGCTCCCGTGTCCGAAACTATGAACACCCAATGCCATTTACAAAGTGGTCAAATGTACCAAATGTTATATTTGGGATAACACTTTCTTTCAATTAGTACAGATTCTAGTAGAATCTGTCATTCACTAAGAAAGTGTTATCCAAAATATAACATTTGTCACATGAGAACTTAAACTTGGTTAAACTGAAGGACTTGAACACTGGTCAGATCAGAAAGTAATTAAATGGAAGAATGGTATACTGTAAATCTTGAAATTAACGCGAGTGTGAATTAAATGCAGAAAAAAGCAAGTGGTCTTTGTTCGCATTAATGAAATGACGCATTTATGTCTGAAAAATAACTATAAAGAATAAGACGGCCTCACTGCAAACTTTGGATAGCAGAAATACCAACTTGAATATAAACACAAACTGGGTTTATTGAGCAGTGTTTGTAACAAGTATGTAACAATGTCATTCAAAGAATAGGAATTACACAAGAGGCATCCAGTGAGTTATCACTTCCGGGGTCAAGAATTCTACCCACTCGTGTCAAACTAGGAATCACTGACCACACCAGCAGTACAGACAGATGCCACCCATGCAACACTTCATCAAAGGCCAACACGACCCAATGGGAAGTCGCATTGATATTGAGTTGCATTTTTGGCTAGGGGTCAGCAGTTGTATTAATTTGGAGACGCATTTATTTCGAGATTTACAGTAATTACCACTAGTTTCTGAAATGACTGCGACAATCTATTTGCTGTTAGCAAGCAGAACACTTTACAGTTAAATATTTCCTTGTACCCAAACTGCTGAAACTAAGGGGTCACTCGTGGGGGTGACACAGTGACCCCTGTATCATTCTTATCAGCATGTTGTGTTGTAATGACAGTTCAATAATCTATGAGATAAATGATTGACCCACAAAACAGCTGTGCGTCACCAACACATACTGTATATTAGAGAGGGTACAAAGATCAACAGTGTCAGAATCCCAGCATAATCAATCTCAGTCCAAGTATAACACATCAAATCTTAGTGAAATCTACCCATGTACAAGCATAATCCTCTCAATATCTAGCATAATCCAAACTATATCTAGCATAATCCAAACTACATATAGCATAATCCAAACTATATCAAGCATAATCTAAACTACATCTAGCATAATCCAAACTATATCTGGTATAATCCAAACTATATCTAGCATAATCCAAACTATATTTAGCATAACCCAAATTATATCTGGTATAATCCAAACTATATCTAGTATAATCCAAACTTTATCTAGCATAATCCAAACTACATATAGCATAATCCAAACTATATCAATATCTGGTATAATCCAAACTATATCTAGCATAATCCAAACTATATTTAGCATAACCCCAAATTATATCTGGTATAATCCAAACTATATCTGGAATAATCCAAACTATATCTGGTATAATCCAAACTATATTTAGCATAACCCAAATTATATCTGGTATAATCCAAACTATATCTAGTATAATCCAAACTTTATCTAGCATAATCCAAACTACATATAGCATAATCCAAACTATATCAATATCTGGTATAATCCAAACTATATCTAGCATAATCCAAACTATATTTAGCATAACCCCAAATTATATCTGGTATAATCCAAACTATATCTGGTATAATCCAAACTACATCTAGCATAATCCAAACTATATCTAGCATAATCTAAACTATATCTGGTATAATTTAAACTATATCTGGTATAATCCAAACTATATCTAGCATAATCCAAACTATATTCAGCATAACCCAAATTATATCTAGCATAATCCAAACTATATCTAGCATAACCCAAATTATATCTGGTATAATCCAAACTATATCTGGAATAATCCAAACTACATCGAGCATAATCCAAACTACATCAAGTAAAATCCAAACTTTATCTAGCATAATCCAAACTACATCTAGCATAATCCAAACTATATCTAGCATAATCCAAACTATATCTAGTATAATCCAAACTATATCTAGCATTATCCAAACTATATCTGGTATAATCCAAACTATATCTGGTATAATCCAAACTATATCTGGTATAATCCAAACTATATCTGGAATAATCCAAACTACATCTAGCATAATCCAAACTATATCTAGCATAATCCAAACTATATCTAGTATAATCCAAACTATAACAAGCATAATCTAAACTATATCTAGCATAATCCAAACAATATCTGGCATAATCCAAACTATATTTAGTATAATCCAAACTATATCTAGCATTATCCAAACTATATCTGGTATAATCCAAACTATATCTAGTATAATCCAAACTTTATCTAGCATAATCCAAACTATATCTAGCATAATCCAAACTTTATCTAGCATAATCCAAACTATACCTAGTATAATCCAAACTGTAACAAGCATAATCCAATATCGAACATAATCCATCCATGTTCCAGCATAATCCATTTAAATCTACAAGACAGTACAATGTTAAACAGTTGTACTTAAACAGCTCCACATCTAGCATAATCCACCCCACATCTAGCATAATCCACCCCATATCTTCATAATCCACCCCACATCTAGCATAATCCACCCCACATCTAGGATAATCCACCCCAGACCTAGCAGTGACATAAACCAACCAAATCTAGCATAATCTACCGCCACATCCACCCCCACATCTAGCATAATCCACCCCCACATATAGCATAATCCACCCCAAATCTAGCATAATCCCCCCAAGACTTATCTTAATCTCAGTCCTGAAACAATCAATAATAAACCTAATATGATCTAATCCTGTATTGATAAAACATTGACTATGATACTTTTGTATCACCTCACCTCACTTTTATGGCGTCTACAAATCAATTAGAAAGAAATGACATCACGTATCACAAAGTCAGCCCGACCTAACCCAGGGCGTCAGCTATATATCTCATCCCAGGTAACGACACAGCCACCTCTACACTCAATCTATCAGCTGTCAACACTAGAACTAGCTCTCGTTGTCGGGACAGAGAGCATGGCAGCTAGCAGGTCTGGCTTGCAGAGTAAATAATGATCGGAGGCAGTGTTGTATCAGCAGTTTGATCAAGCTCAAACTGTTTACCTGCTGTGTTCTAATCACAGTTTAGTTAACATTTGTATACAAGAGGAAAACTTACAACATGAATGGAAGGCTTTGACATTCACAAATCACATAATGAGTATTTGATGAAGAACTAATTGCACATAAAATAATCTGAACAACCTCAGGAAGAATAGAAAACAGGCCCCATTCCACAAAACCATCTTAGGGCAATGACTGTCGTAAGTCTATGGGAGTTACGATCATGTTAGGCCCAGAACATTTAACAGTGTGAAACTTTCACAGTACAACATAGAAACGGGACTATCTCCCGCTTGGTTACATAAACTTGATCCAGTGTTTCGAACACACATTTGTATCAATATGGTTCCCTTGTCATCCGATACCAGGCCCAACATTTTCACAAACCATGTAAAGGGGATTCAAACCCACCATACTCGGACTCTGCAACAAAGAGTTCCTCAGATGACTCTGGTATGTGGACTACCCAGTTTGTACAGGGATTTATCTAAGATTCAAACTAAGTGAACTGGCAGTTTGTTTAAAATTGGTATTTCTTAGTTTTTATTTTCTCAATTTTATATTTTAACATTGTATCATAGCACTGATTTCAATGCTATAATGTAAAATTAATGTGAAGCCTCTTTCCTTATTGGTCCTGATATCAGTGAAATATCACACTAATAATAACCATATTAACAGGAACATTTTTTAGTGACATTTGCTGCAGACTTGAAGCTGAATATCGGCTCAAGATCAGGGCCCACTTGCACAAAACAACCTTAGCGCTAAGACTATTGTAAGCCTATGTTAAAGTATGGGAGTTACGATCATCTTAGCGCTAAGATCGCTTTGTGCAAGTGGGCCCAGGTCTAGATAAATCATTGTTTTAACAAGAAAAGTACGTCAGCATGTGTATGACAACAAAACATGCCATGTTTCTTACTACCTCTTTAATAGTCTTCTGATCCAAGTCAGTTACGATGCGACAAAAACACACTTAATAATGCTTCAAAACATGGTTAAACAGTATCGACATAAATACAGAGTGAACGTCACTATTGCCTCAAAACCCATGCTGAACATGAAAAGTATTGATTTATTGCATGTTAAATAATCATGAACCTATTCACACAGGTAAACAATCAACTCGTCCCACCTGACTGACCAATCTACTGATAACCATCGCCATTACTGAATACCCTCAATGCCAACACAGAACATTCCTGGCAAGTTGGCGGAACAACCCAGTCCTCGGTCCCACAGAAGTAGAAGTGTCTGATTGCGTGTCTCACAAAGGTCACGCATCACTGAATCCTGCCTCAACAATGTCTGTTATGTTTGAGAAACAATAGAAATAGCAATGGCTGTAATATTTATACATTAAAGTGAAATAAACTAACATTTTTAGTCCACTAGTCCTTATAATAACATACTGCAAAACCCTTAATAATGATGAATTTCTATTCGTTTGACAATACCTTAACTATTGGGCAGTTTGGCAAGGATCACAGGAACAGTGCCAATTTCCATCACTGCATCAGGTTCATTTTAGATTATTTTCTTGTGTTTTTATCGGTTACATCCGTAATAAATATACCTTTTCTAAAATACACTGC